TTTGACAAATGCCTGATCTTTATGGCCTGTCCTCGCATCACTCTTTCCTAGAAATTTCATTTTTGGCGTCTTCTATTAACACAGTTGACAAGTACTAATCCCTTTCATGACGGTCCTCCTGCGAGCGGGCAATCCCGCTGTACAAGGATTAAGGATACAGACAGATTATACCATTTTGTTGACGTGTTTATACATCCAACTGCAGAGCTCCCCACGGTGGCAGAAAAAATCGCAGCTCAAAAAGAGAGAGACATGAAGTCCTATTTAAAACGTGTGGGCACCCACTCTCAGTCATGAACCAATATGGCTGATATTGTATCACGTGACGGTGATCAGCCAATGGGAAACCACAGTTGGCGGCATCTCCGCATACAAAAGCTGTCCAGACCTTGTTTATCTAGGGCCTTGTTAGGATTGAATTGCTATTGTGAAGAACGGAGAAAGCACAATATTTCAAGACACTCCGCGAGATGTCAATCGGGCTGCAATGCACGGTTGTCGGATTCTTGGTGGTAATTGAGCTTTTGGGATTAGCGTAGAGAAGTAAAAAATGCCTTCATTTTCTTGGAAATGAAATGAAGGTAGCGAATGATCTTGGAAGGAAATTCTCCAGTTCTCAGGATGTCGTGCTTCCTTGGTAAAATGGTGCCCCATCCTTGAGCATCACTGCATGGCATCTAATATCGGCTGTGTGGAAACAATCGGAGCTTGCAGGCCTCTCTGGAGGAAGAGGCTTCAAGAATCTAGAATCAAGAACCTAGGGATCCATTGCATGAAGTTCACGTCACGGATGGCTTCTGAGCCTGTTGCATGGTGGGAAACTTAATGACGAGGTCAACGGATGGGCCGTGTATTGTCTATATGCTTCAATTCCAAACTGGTTTTTTTCAACGGCTGGACCGACGTCGAGGAAACACGTGCCTCGACGTCGAAAGTCCGATGTCGGTCTCGCGTTGCATCTGGCATCGGCGCCTCACGTTTCGAGCCCAATTTCAAACTCGGTTTTTCCTCCGCATCGACACGGAAGTTCTACGGCACGACATCTCGGCAAAATAACGGTCGACAGAACCGTCCGCGTCGTCTTCGACCCCCGACCGTGGAATCCAAGTGGGCCAGGAAACGACTGTCGTTTCGACGTTCGTGGTTTCCTCACTGCATCTCATCGATGGACGATGGATGATGGATGTTTAGAACGGCAGAGACCACCTCGAAAGCGATCGAAACGTTCTTACACGACCCGAGGCATGCGAACTTGGGATGCGCCTCCGAATCGGACTCGCTGGAAAAAAATTCCACTTCCGTCGTGTATTCTTCGTAGACAGCCGTCTCGTGACAGGGTGCGTAACCAAGTTCTACCGACCGCAAACGCAATCGAGTGCAGTGACACCATCGGTATATGTCGGCAGAAAAATCGGCATTGCTGCCGTGTTCCCGTCGAGACGAAGGGCTGGATCGAAACCTCAGGCGTTCCGGAAAAGTAAAATCAGTCTCGGGAAGATGTCGATCCGACCTCGTATGTGCAAAAAACCTGGAGCATCTGAATATCTTAGTAATCAAGAACGCATGTATTGCGACTGCGACGGCAGACATCGACCGTATGGGACGAGAAATCGACAGGGACGAGACCGAACCAAAGGCGACAGTGAAAGATGAGCCTCGCCTGAGCCTCCACGAAAAGGAGACACTGTGGGGTTTCTATGCCGTCATGGAGACGGAAATACATTTCCAAGAAAACAAATGCTTAGGGGAATACACGAACGAGAATCTCCTCTGTGAGTGAAACCTTTCGTTCTCGCCATAATATTTCTCGTGGCTTCACCAATCCGCGTTTTCAAACGGATATCTCATCCCATATCCAATTATGGAGATACGTCTATGCTAAATTTCGTGGCAAAAACTTCCTTCAGACACGCCTCGTCCTGTCGATGAGGAATTCGCCCTCATCCTCGTCACGCACGGGTTTCGTCGGTCATCGCGTTACGTTTCATTTATTGGTGCTCCCTATATTGATGCTCTCCGAGAGAGGAAAAACCCGGGCGCTCGCAGTCCCCCGGGAACGGGAACACAGGAACACAGTCCCTCGGCTCCGAGGCCGCGATGGACGGTCAGAGAAAAACGGGAAAATCTCCCTAGAATCATCGTTCTGTGTGGAGTCCATGGGTCGAGTGATCGTGGCGGTTTTCGAGCAGACACGCACCGTCTCAGAAGAGACACACTGGCTGATTTATTTTTAATATCTTCATCTGATATCGTGTGAAGCCCCGGCTTTTCTACGTATGACATTCCAGATGAATGAGACATAAAAAAATAAGTTTGAAAGATGTTCAATTCCTGCTTCAAACGTAATAACTTCTCTAAGCTAAAGTAACAAAAATCGCGCGTACCCAGTCAAAAATTTTTCGTCGGGTCATCGATGGCTTTTTAAGCCGGCTTACGGTCGGGTATGTTCTGTTGGCCCTTCATTGGGCCAACTTTGGCTCATTGTTGGGAAACCACACACGCCCCAACCATCGGCCGACTTTTTACAATGGTGAAAAGGTATAGGAAAAAAACCGACCAAAAAAATTGCAACCACAGCTTCATGTATCTCGGAGTGATGAGATTGCATCTTCTGACCTCTTAATGCTTCTTCACCTGGTAGAGATGAAGGAGCAGGGCCTTATCTGAGTACCTTACACAGGTACACTCCTACCGCCAAGAACATCCCATGCAATACCCCTTCTGGATGCTGAGGTATCCATTGGATGCTGAATCTTGCATATATTTCTATTTTAACCAGAGAGCTCGCGTACGAGAGCCAGGGCTTTTGCGCGGTTTGCCCCAAGGAAGCAGGTTTGTTTAATATTCCTCCCGAAGTGATATCTTTGAGCACAACATATCGGCAAGTGTATATTTGAAAGCTACAAGGCATCTGATGGCACAAATCCCGTCTCACCTTTCAGAAACGATCGTCAATCGAGGATATGCGGAACAGAGTGATTTTCCACCCTTTCCGCTAGGTGGCCGGTACACCATCACGATGTCACCGAAGCCAGGGGAGTGCACGCTCTTTACCCTCTGTTTATTTGATAGGGACTTGGACGGATGAGCGCGTTCCCGAGCTGCGAGATTTGAACATCTGCGGGAAATGCTGCCTTTTCCCTTGTCCTTCAGGGTGCAATGAATGTGCATGCAAATTTTATTACATTAAAATTTGTAACTTCATCCAGCGGATGCACGGAGGATGTTTTATTGCTCCCTGGGGGATTCATATACAGCAGGTGTATCCTCTCCATAGTCATCCGATGACTTTCCCATTATTTCCCATCCATTTTCAATGGATCTGAACAAAAAACGAACATCCAATTGGCCACATTGTAGAGGCGCGTCCGAGGATAATCCCTGGATGAGACATTTAGTAATCCGCTGGATGTCCAATGAGGATATCCAGTGGATGTCCAAGTGTCCTTGAATGAATGTCAAATGGATTTATTTTGTTTTAAAAATTGTCACTTGGGAGACGTTTCTTATACGGTACGGATGAGTTACGATGGCGTCATCATCCTCGGAACTGCTTGAATTTATGGGTCTGGGTGTCGAGACGCTCCATCCGGGAAAAGAGTTTCAAGGCTTCATCGACGAGGGATTACTTGATTTCGTGAGGTGTGCCATAATTAATAAAGAGTATATGAGTTCTCGTCAGTGTAGAAGAGCGAGATAGAGGTAGTTTGGTTTTAAGAGTGACAGGCGGGTCGATGTGGATCTCCGCGTGAACTGATGAGAGTGAAGGCTCCGGCGTCACACTCCGAGTTCCTGAGTACGACATCCTGGTCCCATGGGAAATATCTCAGGCTTCATTGCAGGGAGACCAAATTCACTGGTGGCTTCCGAGTCTGTTGCATGAGGGGGGGGGGGAATGATGGGGAAATCGGTGATGAGGTCGAGGAGTTGGGTCTTGTATGCTTCGCAACTCTTGTTCTCTAACGAAAGGCAGCAGCTCCCATTACTTCGTCGTCTCTTTGAATTTCTACTCGAATCGCTCTCCACTCTCGTCTCAACCTCGTCCTCTAAATAATTTTAGGGCTCGGGCGTTCGATTTGGAGGAGGAGACGCGAAGCAGCGACCGAACGAATCAACTCCCTCCACCGACTCGCTCTTAAAAATGCGTGGGTAAAGAACACGTAGACGAGGTCTATATTCCCTCACGAGAAACATGTTGCTAGTGGGGACCGTGTGGGGACTGTGAGGGGACTGTGTGAAGCTCTGGAATGGATGGTAGAGCAGTCCAGACCTCGTCCTTGTCCCTTCTTACTTTTCGAGCCGAAGTTGACAGGGAACAGGGTGGAAAATTCTCCGTTCGACTTGGCCAGTCCTCCTGTCATCGTGACCATTCGATTTATGCAAATTGGAGTCCTGAGATGAAAAGAAGAGCCTTTACGAAATCGAAAAAAAGCGCGCCTGAATATTATATAATTATATTAATATTAATATTATGCTTCTTATGGAAGATAACCCGTACTCACCCGAATCGTCATGGTGATTAAATGGAGGTTTCTTATGAAAGAGTAAGTTCAGAGTTCAGAGGGTGCCGAGAGTGAAAAACAGAGAAACCTGGTCTTTTTCTTCGTGACGAAGTCAATCTTATAGTTTCAAGGTCATAACAAGGATTTTTCCCGTTCGTATCGAATTTCTGTCATGCTGGGCCTTCTTCGGTCATATATATGTAATCTTTTGAGCACTATTTTCGTTCTTTCCGACACGGACTTCGATATCCGATCGACACCTTTAGCTGCGAGCTGCTGGTACTGATTTACTGCGGGATTTAGATTATGCGACCGTCCAACATCCTCCCTTCTTTATTTCCCCGTAATGGACTATTTTCTCGACGCAGCAACATACGAGACGGGGAGAAGGGAGAGGATGGACTGCTGGAGACTGCTGGAGACTGCTGCCATCTATAACTGCGGCATAGCGAGAGAGAGAGAGAGAGGATCGATGTTGGCGTTGCCTCTCCCTTTGCGTGGAAGCCTGGCCTGGCCCGGGTCCATTTTCTTCCCCATCCACCCCTCAGTCCCGATTCGACTCTCTCTTCCTCGCGACATGACATGATACGACACGAGTCTCATGACCTCCCACGAGAATCGAGCTGGACCGTATCGTCCGGCTGGTCGTGCCGGTGGAGGCGAGGTTCACGGTGGTGGTGATTGACGTTTTCTGGTGATGATCGTAATAGTGGGTGGTGACGGTCATGGAGTGTTCCGGGATTCATCCCTTACTCTTCCTTCTTTTCTTCTTCTTCGTCGGCCTCGAGACATCGCAGTATTCCTTCCCCACGATGAACTCTCCCTATCAGGGATCCCAGCTCAACGATTCCGAGTGAGTCCCCGCGGATACGTTCCGCCCGTAATCGCCTCCAGACGAATCGTGGAACCGATGGGGTGTGAGCTTCGAGACGAACGTCGTTTTACTCAGGCCTTTCTTCTCGTTTGGTCTGGCATCTTTCCACGTATGGAAAGGGGGGAGAAGGAAACAGCTGCTGATACGGGGAGGAACCGTGAACGCCGTCATTATGGGCCTATAGGAGATCCAAAGCTGCCATGAAAATACGACTTTCCCTGCCAAATTTTCGGCTCTGAGTTTCCAGAACCGTGTTACGCGGCCTAACCGTTCGTGGAACTTAGACGCTGCCGGAAATGCCAACACATTTTCGCTCGACGCATATTGGCATTCGGATATTATCAATATGGGAATGCGGCAATGAAATGCGCAAAGGAACGCAGTGTTGGCATCCTGATCTGTATTCTTATTTTTTGCTTATTTTCCCCTTGCGAAATTCCTCCATAATTTCTGACGTCTCCTTATCCAAAGAAACAGGGAAAACCCCTCACCATGTTCCCTCATCTAATGCTAATAACCTCTACCCCTCCCCTCTATCCCTCCCCTCCCCCCTTGTTATCCCAAATTCCTAGAGGAAGACTCGATGTGACCTAGTTTGAGGCTTAGGCTTTACCTTCAACGGAATTACGGGAATAACTGGTGGTCGGGGGTCTCCCTTCCCAAAGACTGGGAAATGAACGCATGACGTATTGAGTTTGCATCTTGGGTCCCCTGCCCCAAATCACAGGGTCCCTGTGTCCTCACCCCATAATCATCGTGTCCCTGTGTCCTCTCCCCTTACTCATCGTGTCCCTGGTTCTTCTGGTCCCCGGTCTCTGGACTCTGGATTCCCCCCTGCCAAATTCCTTACCAACCAGCCATTAGCCCACTCCGGTCGGCTGCTTTCATGAAAATACGTAGTTTGAAGTGCAGTTGTACGCATTTAAGGCCTTTGATATCAGAGTACTGTAGTTGTTCCATTGCCAGTATTTTAAGAACAAGGAATGGGACGGTATTGAATAGAGGATGAGAGCGGAGAGCTTCAAAACGCATCGTGCGAGCCAGCGCTTTTTTTTGTGGAGAATGAGAGGGAGGAAGATGGGAGAATGAAATGAGGAAGTGGCATCGATTCTGCATGGACTCCCCTCGCCATATTGTGGCTGGAGGTGACGGCCTCCCAGATTGATATTCTTCCTCCCCTTCTTTTTTTCCCTTCCCTTTAGAAACAAAAAAAAAAAGAGAAAAAAAGAATTGGGATTCATCTCTGAACTGTCCCGTCCCCTCTACTCATATCTTCGTCCTTATTTTTTTTCTCCTCCCCCTTTTCTTCTGCGTTCTTTTTTTTTAAATGTACTTTTCAAGCTTCCCCGGCAGCGATTATTAACACTCGGCGAGAAAGATTTCCTGCCATTCCGTCCACTCGATTGCCTTCGCGTGTCGAGCATAAAAGGAGCGAAATTTCCTTCCCTTCATCCTCCGGAAAGACCGTGATCCATACATGCCTCTTCCATTTTGTTCCTCTTCCAGCGTCAACTACTGGACGCTTCGGATTTCCAACCAGCTTCAGGCCTTCTTCCAGAAAGTGACCAAATACGAGATCATCGAATCGGTACGTTCCTGTAGTGACTGTTTCGTCTCGTGTCAGGTTTGAAATTGATGCTTTGGAATGATGTACGGAGTAAGAGAGAGAGAGGGAGAGAAGAAGAGAGCAAGAGAATCTGCTTAAGGAGGTATAGAATGAAGACAGGAGGAGGTTCTTCCGGTACGAGGAAAACTCCAGGAGCTTTTTGCTCTCCTCTCCCTCCCTCTCTCTATCTCTCCCTTTCTTTTCTCTTTCTCCCTCGATCTCTCCCTCCCCCCCTCTCTCCTTCCCATTTTATTTCCACGAAGAGGCGAAAAATGTGGGAGATCTCGACTTGTCCTTATGGGTATCGATAGAACCTCTCTTCCTGAAAAAAAGATGCGCAAGAGGAGATAGAGAGGAGGGCGCCGAGGCGCCATCGATTTCGCATAGCACCGGGCTCCAGTACTACTGTCAAGGGATCATCAAGAATTACGCATATCTTGTGCAAGGGAAAGAGGGAAGGGGAGGGGGAGAGTGCGAGTGAGTATAATTATGGAACCTCTTTGTACGAGAAGAGTTCACTATTGTACTGGCATGGGCCGACACGGAGAGCGTCTGCTGGAACTGGTATTGTATAGAGCTGGAGACGAGGACAAGATGGACAGGAATTACATTCCTCACCCAGATTGTCGTTCCAGTCCTTCGCCCTCTATTTACTAGACGTGCCTCTTGCGGAAGGGAGACGTATTCCAAGTTTCAACGCGCATTAAGAGACAGTGGACGAGGCGAGGTTCATCCGGTTCCATCTTTTCGTAAAGACTGTTTCTTCGAATCGAGTGCGAGGGCTACAAATTCTCGAGAAGATGATGTTGATTTAGGGGAAGCTGTTCGAAGATCTCGCGCGGAGGCGCTTTCCACGAACCTAGAAAGAAGCGCAGAATTAGTTTGGAATTTTCGAAAAGGTACTGTCTTACTTGAGGCACGCTTTGTGGCATCGGCGATATTTTGAGAGTCGTTTCGTGACGAAATCCCTATTCGGCCGATCGACACGAACGTTATTTTCGCCTTTAAAAGCAACAATCTTTAGCTCGAGAGTGTGTGGCAGTGTGGAAGAGAGTGCAGGAGGTCATCCTTCATCCTCATCGATGAAACATCGGGTCTCTTCAATGGCCCGGTCCAGTCATCGATTAAATCATCAGCGGCCTCAAGTGACTTTTTTTTCCATCTTCAGAATTTCAATCGGGGATTGAGCGTGGACGACTTCAAACACGTGGAGCCCTTCGATGTCGTGAAGGAAATGGCTACGGACATCACGAAGATGATGAACAAGAAGATTGACGGAGTGAAGGTCTCTCTTTCTCCCATATTCCTCCAACTTTTCGCTCCATGGGAGCCAACACAGGTGTCACAGGGTTCTTTTCAAAGGGGAGACAGATGTCTCTTTACTGTGTACCGGCGACATCTTGTCAGATGAGGGATCCACCCCAACACTTCTCTTTCTCTCTGCATGAGCGTATGGCAACGACTTACTTCTTATCCAGTCTGGAAAAAACATCTGAATGTAAACGTGGCATGGCGAGATGAAGACTTGCAATTGAATAGGGGAAACCAACCCAAACGGAAAGGCTTTTCGGCTCATAGAGTCATGGGAATAGGTCACAATAATATGCCTGTCTGACATGTTCTCTGAAGTATGTTCACTCGCCGATCCAGGAGAATTTGGAGTCATCACGGAAGAACTTGAATTATGGGACATTTTTTAAAGCAATCGAAATCATTCCACATTCCCCTAGTACAAAGCAAATGCATTCCGGGGCGAAGTGGAACGGTAAATCGTACCTCTCAGATGTACCGTATCGTATTTCTTCTTTCCGAGAAAGACATTCGAGGAAATGCGAGTCATTTCTAGCTTGGGAAGCTTACTTGCACACGTCGCAGATCGACACGATGAGAATCCTCGTCGGAAGAGAGCATTCCCACCTTACAGAGGCTGTTAAATCTGGCCTAGCAGTTGCCTCTCTTGTTGCTCTTCCATTGTTTTCCGAGGGAGCACTGGGTCGTGCCTTTTCTCTCTCTTTTGGAAAGGAATCAGGTCGGCTCTGGACTTGGCCTGAGGCCAAGTTCAGTACGTCAAGACTTCTGTTCTAATACCTCTTGAGAAAACTACGATCTATTTAAATCCTGCTCTCTCAGAGAAAACTTTGCCACTTGGATTCTGAAATATACGAGGGATTTAAAAAAAAAATGTAAATATGCTTCCGAATGTTGTAGGTAAGAGAATGTTAAAAATGGAACCAGTGACTGCCATCCTCGTTGAGCACTCGGGAAAAAATATGTAATTTTGATCAAACGAACGTCATAAACATAGGGCTACTTCATGTGAAAATAGGAGGAATCACACTTTTGAGCTACTTCAACGATTCCGGGGGGAAATGTCATATAAATGCCGTTCATTCTTCTCCCAGCAATTTTCATTATGGCCACAGTCTTGAATTGTAATGCTACAAAAGGACTACAACCAAGCATCCTCGGATTTAATATTTGCTTAAATTACGTAATTTTTACATTATAAATTTTTTGCAAGTGTGTTTAATTCTTACATCCCCTGAATGTGGCATGGGGTAAGAAGAACCAAGGGATATTTCCTTGAGGTCTGGTGTAAGAGCACATGATACATCAGAAAACGGTTAAAATTCAATCTTCGTATCATTTGGCTTCTTTCACTCCGCGCTCCCGTAATTATTGTTTGCATAATTGTCTGTTTTGGGGTCTGGATGGGGGGGGGGGGGGGGGGGGGGGGGGGGGGGGGGGAGAGGGGGGGGGGGTGGGGGGTGGGAGGAAGGGAAGTGGGAGCTATTGCTTAGAGTCACCCGGTGCATTTTTCATGTGCCCGTTCCTTGAATTTAACACGACGATCAATCTTCCCCGACGTTGTAATACTTCAATCTGGAGGCAAAGAGAATCTTCCAGTAGATGTTAACCATTGGCTTTTTTTATTAAATTGAGCTTTTCGAAAAATCTGGATTCTCAAGGTCTATCTGTTTGCTAGGATTCATGGTAAATGATCGCTTCTAAGTATGCTACACAGTTGATTAATGATCTTATTTTTTTATAGCTTCGAGATCAAGCGATAACCACACAAAGCCCAAAAAGAGCAACAGAACGAGGTTGTGATTGTATACTCAAAACAGTCCGAAGTGTCCACTCATGTTGCCTCACCTTTCATTCGTTTTGGGAATATTAAACTCTTATTAGCACAGGTGGCTGGCTCTGTTTTGCTTTTAAAGCAAACATTTCACTTTGTCCTGATAACCCACTATGCCTCGGTCTCTCCTCCTCTAAAATGTATGTACAATTTGACGAGACCAGACTTTGCGAGACGGGATGTTCGAATGCACCTATTAACCAGAAAATGTACCAAGAGTTTCGTATATAACCGAATATATAACACAAATGGGCATATTGGTCGGAAAGCCTCGCACAACAGTGAATGAACATTCAATTTAATCCCTATTTAGTCCTTGAAATGTGCTAGTAGGCAGTGTTAGTGCAGCAACATAGCAAAACGTTTGACTGAAAAAAAAATAGTTGTGCGTTCGAAGTTTGAAAACGCAGCTGCGGTTTTATGACAGTGGCGCAGACGAGTAGCCATCTTTCTCCTCCGGAAACAATCCTGTCTATAACTAAGCATTTTACTAAAACTAGAAATGTCACCGAGTTGCCTCGTTCGGAGAGAAGAAAATGGGTTTGTGCAGATCAAGCAGTGGAAACCGTACAGAGAGCTTTTCCCCTGCAAATCGAGTAGGCAACGTGCTGAACTCGACTTGTCTCCCTCATCGTATTTTTGTTCCACGATTTTTATGGAGCGTAGTGAACGGGTTTATGTTCAGAAACCGGAAACCACTCATGAACTATAAGAAAACATACTTGAGGTATTGCAGAAAATCTGTCAAGACCTGTACAAAAAGTGTCATTCCGTACAAGGACGCGTCCAGGAGTGCCAATACACATTTTGTCGGTTTTTGGGTTTATATTGGGTTATATTTGTGCATTAACCCTGCAACTATCGTTCTGAGTCAAATGAATACTAGTACAAGAATTTAGCCGTTTTAAGTCAGTTTGGTTATTTATGAAACACCCTGTATATCTAATACACATTCTATGAAAATAGGAGAGTTTATAAAGCGTAGTAAAAGATAATTAAAAAAAGAGAGAAGCAAGAAAAAAAGCTCGAAGGCATTGTTTTCTTTTGCGCGGGATTGTGAACTCGAATTGTTTTCGTTCGAGATTTCCGGCTTGCCTCACGAAAACGCGATGCAAAATAAGGTGATTGTTACTGCCGTCACGAGTTCGTATTTCATGCTGAGGGTTCGATGCGTGCATGTCACAGAGGCTGATGGACACGATGGAGAACAAGGTGCGGGATGCGAAGGAGAGCCACATGCGACTCCCGACCGTCTTGAACTACCGATATCACAACGCGAAGAAGCTGGAGCTCTGCGGAAATCAGGAGACGATCTACGATTACGCCGACGACACCGGTCCCAGGGAATGTCTCGTCCTGAACAGGGTCGAACCCCGGTTCGGAGAACCCGTGAATCGATCCGTCTCTGTCGTCCACGTTCCCACCAACGTCTACGAAAGAGGTTCGTGAAACTGATCCCCTTCACTCTAAACGGCCGACGACTGGAGGCTTTCCTCCCAGAGCTTATACCATTTCTTTCGAATAGTATAAGCTCTAGGACTGCTTTTCGTCCCCCACCTTCTCCTTCCTCGCTAATGATGGAAGACACGGTTCACGATCTGTTATTGCACCGAGGAGCGCTCCCATCCTTGGTTTGCATTTTTTTTCGTAGCTTGCAAATATTGCACACTCCTTTACCTCCTAGTGGACATAGTTGGCGGAATGTCAAGGTGCTTCAATCACGGGGTCGAGGGATCTAGGCAGAGCGTCAGGGTAATGAAGTGCTTATTTATAAGTATTTGTTGGGTGGATCTGGAGGTCTCTGGTAGGATCAATGGAATAGTGGTATATTTTCTAATTGTAGTAGTACCGTTAAAAAGCCGCATTCGCCTTTTTACCATTTACTTGTTGTTTTATGCGCAAACGGAAAGTCCCACGCCGTTTTCTTTTCAATTAGACATTTGTGGGATTTCTATTAATACATCACATTCGACATTTTGTTGTTTTAATTTTCAGATTACGAAGTGTTGGAAGCGATCGGTTGGTCGGATCAGCTGAACAACATGTTCAAGTCCAACGCCGCACTGGATCCAAGTCTGTCTTGGCAGTACTTCGCGTCCGCTTCCGGCGTTCTTCGATATTTCCCTGGCAAGTTTTCCTCTCCCCAGTCAGAAGCGGAACTCCTTTCGATGACGTTGAAGTAGGAATTCACGATGAGACCGAAAGCGCAGTCGCCATACAACGTAGAGGTCGAGGGGCCTTGTATACTGGGTATTATTGCTGCCTGTGTCTGTCATGAATATTAATGATGGCCAACTTTCTCATATCGTGCCCATGAATACGAGAGCACCTCATTATTAACCCTCTCTTCACTTTATCCGACGTGCACAAGAGCGAAGCGTGGAGCATGCAACAGGCGCAGTTGGCACTTCATACTTTCTTTCGGACCGTTTACGTCCGTTGAAAATATGAAGAGCCGACGGACGTAACGCTCCCAGGTTTCCGCGAAGAGTTCATGCAATCCCAACTTCTCCATGTGTTCGTATCGTGACATGCCGTAATCTTGAGCTAGGGTCATCGTGCGAGAAGGTACTTGGTGGTCGTTAAGTCTTTGCGATAGTCTAATTAAACGATCGTTGCGTTCCAAAGAGCATACCGTGGACGATGTGATGTTACCTAACGATTGTTAAGTGGACCGTGGAGCTACATTTGTGAATCGGAGATCCGCGGGCGAGGCTCTTGGGAGTCCGCAAAACCATGACCACAGGAAAAAATCATCGCACGATTCAGACATTTTTGTGGCGTCGGACGGAGTAAAGCTTACAATAGCTAGTCCTGACTGGCGTTCCTCGTCTCGTCTTCGTAACCCTAACGTGTTCATAGTTATAGTTTATATTTTTTTAAAAGTCGATGCGTATAAGGCGTTTCTCTACGATCTCATCCCTTATTATATGATGAGATCGTAGAGAAACGCCTCTCGGGGAGAAATCTCAACTCTCTCGAAGGAAACGCCATGGAGGCAATTCCCTTTTTTCTTAACAACTCTAGGCCTGTGTTAACATGACGACAAGGCACAAATACTCGGTTGTATGGTTTCAAAGTTTCGCTACGTCGTCTCGCAGTTTGAATAAGATCCTCGAAAACTTCCTCGCGTGGACTCAGTATCACGCGAGATGTTTTCGGCTCGTTCTTGTCGTGCTGGTCTGCCCCCCCCCCCCCCCCCCCCCCCCCCCCCCCCTCGCCCGCACCCCCCCCCCCCCCCCCATCGCCCCCTCGTTGGTGACGATGCGATGCCCGGAAAAGCTGCCGTTCGTAGAGAAAGACATCCATGGAATCGGTCCGAGTAAACGAGGAAGCAGGAAATGAGGAAGAGGAGGTCCACTCACGGAATGCGTGCTTTGGTAGTCTCGACCTTTCGGGCTCTGGGTTTCATCGGTGCAGCATATCGGAACCGGTCCTGATCCGTGCTCACGAGAAGGAATAGGAACGTGATGGGGAATCAGGGATCCGAAGACCGCTTTCTATATCTCGATAGGATTTCACGGAAATTGCCAGTCGAAGTCCGACGAAAACGATGGTTGGAATCATCGCGCTAATCATCTCTGTGCGGTGCACTCGGATGCCAGATCCTGGCTAGGACCTGGCCAGGACCTTTAACTGCCATTCCGATGTTTCGGAAATCGATGGCAAGAGGATACGTTGGTTTATCTTGGCGTTTCCTCGAGTTATTTCTGGAGGGCCAGAAATCACTGGAGAGACAGAAAGAGAAGAAAAAGGAATGATTTTCGCTCATTAGTATATTTTTGGTGCGATCGAAGAGGCCGGAGACGCCCTCGTCCATGGAAGGAAAGGACGCCCATGAGAAGGGGGAATACGGATCGCTTCGTATCACTAACGGATGGATGCTTTTTAAATTTATCACCAGGTTCATTTCGAAGAATGCGTGTTTCGTTCGTGGAAAAAATTGCATGTTCCTTCTCAGCCGAGTAAAGGCGCTCAATAAAGGCAGATTTGAGCCGAGTGGAGAAATGCAAGAGGCAAACAGAGGGAGAGGGAGAGGGGGGTGGGGGGCGGGGGGTGGAGGGGTGAAGGTTCTTCTCTTGCTTTTTCCTGGAATCCAACAAAGAGGCTTTTCTGGCTCTTTCCCGGAGTACGAGACCAAATGAAATTAATCCCCATAGCGCAGACTTATCTAGCAGCCTTTTTTCTAATGGATCTTCACTTACATCGGCATTCTCTCATAATTCGAGGACAAAGCCGGTTTCAAATCGTTCGTTCAACGTCATCGCTCGCTTCAACCTGGCTTCCCAGGAACTTTTTTTGTTAGGGCTGCATCCCAGTTTTGGAATGTAGGACTTTTTATGCCGTACCTCGAATGCTTCGTGTAATGTTGGCGCGCCGGATTTCCCCGATGAAATGTTTGAAAAAACGACTGGTAGACTCGGAAGAGCTCGGTCTGAACGACGGAGCAAAATGCAAAAAACTCTCGCAAATACGATGCAGATCTCGCTCTCGTTCGACGGCACCCCCAGGCAGCCTTTTTCATAAAAATTTGGCCTGACTTTTGGCTCGGCATCGAGTATCGGCAGCTATGGCCTGTACTAGCAAAAATATTTTGTGTGGATAGGCTCCATTAAAACAGCATTCTAGGTTCGTGTCCGAGTACTCTTCCCAGTTTCAGAACCGTTGAACTGTAGTTTGGACCGATTTCAATGAATAAAATGGCACGCTACTCGTCTCGCGACCACAATGTGCCTTTTTAGTCTCAAATCCACCGAATTAGGGCCAAAACTACCTAAAGGTTTCCGTAGCTTCAGCTACAGAGAGGCTCGTCTCGATGCTGTAAAACTCCGAATACCTTTTCGGGTCTCACTTTCTCATCTATTTCTGAAATTACAAAAAGTATTTAACATTCGAAAAACACACTGACTGTAAGAGACGATACGGTCGATTTGTAATTAATTAATTAATTAATTCCTTACTGGCGATTCTCATGCCCAAAAGTTATTCTTAGTTCTTTTATGGTTGTTTGAAGAGGCGTAATCCTTCGTGATTCTTACTCCAGTTTCAATGTCAGGGTGTTTGCTCTCTAGTCATATTATCGCCATCACAATTTCAGTTTATATCATGGGCTTTGCTTGCGTAGAGATAAGATGCTTCGGCCATAATTCTCCGAGTTATTTTTCCCGTGTTTTTTTCCGACTTTGAAAATCGTTACTCGGGAAATCCATCACCGAAAATCCCAATATGACGATGACGTCCCGTGACGCGTTCACGGGATCGAGAACGATTCAAATTCGCGGCGAGTTGATCGATACGTGCTGGGTCGACAGCGGCGGCTTGGATGAGGCTCGAGAATGCACCCGACGAATTCGACAGCCGCCTGCGGCCGTGGTACATCAGAGCGGCGACGTCGCCGAAGGAGATGATCATCCTCATAGACGAGAGCGGGTCGATGACGGGTCAGAGGAGCGAGATCGCGCGTCACGTCGTCCGCACCATCCTCGAAACCCTCAACGAGGACGATTTCTTCAACGTGTTCAAGTTCTCGGAGCACACCGTTCCCGTCCTCCCCTGCTTCAACGACTCCATGGCCCAGGTTCGCGTCTCCACGATAGTGCATCGTGCATCTCTCTCTTTCTCTCTCTGTGAACGTGTTATATTCGAGCTGTGACGTTTTCTAGGCAAATATGGAGAACATCCGTCGCTTCAAGGACGAATTGCCTCGGGTGAAGACGGAACACATCGCTAACCTCACGGAAGCCCTCACCACGGCCTTCGAACTTCTTCGCAAGGTATCTTGCTCACGCTCTCTCCTCCAAGACCAAAACGTAAAGACAGCTGCCGAAACGCAATTAGACAGTTCCTCTCCATCTTTAACCCATTGGGAAGCCATTTAAATTTCAGTTTTTCTTATTTGTTTAATTTGGGCAAACCATATTTTTTCCATCTATATATTGCATGTTTCTAATTTCATTCATGATGTTACTTGTTTATTTTATTTTTCCCTCTTGAGTTGCCAATTGTATTCTAACCTTCAGAAAAATCGAAAAGAGGGAAACCGGTGATTCGCTGACCTCTTAGTTTCAGTCCATTTTCTGCTCGTTTGATGGATCGCCGGATTCGTGTCTCAGCAGTTTAATGGAAACAGCTAATGGAAAGGCTCTACGAATGATATTCCCTCATCACAGCGTGCAAACTAGTGCCAGTGCTGATTTTGCGATTCTATTTGCAGTTCAACGAGACGGGTGGGGGAGCTCGATGTAACCAGGCCATCATGCTGATCACGGACGGGGCGTCGGACAACTACCAGGAAATTTTCCATAAATACAACTGGCCTTACACCCAAGTTCGCGTCTTTACCTATCTCATCGGGAAAGAGGTCACGGATGACCGTGAGGTGAAATGGATGGCTTGTGCCAACCGAGGTCAGTCCCATCCACCGATCTTTGACCCCATCCTCCGATTCCTAACTCCATCCGCGATAAAGGGCTTTTAGAATTAGAATATGAGTGGTTTCCCGCATCCGCAATTGTTTCCTACACTCCTTCATGTTTCGATCGTTTGAATTCCATACCTAATAATCACTAGCTTTTGTGAAAGAGAGATTCAGAACCTCTCTGTCGATATTATTCCTAGCCACCGGCATCTGTTTACCTCGAGAAGACTGTCGCAGTGAATATGAGGTTCGGAAGCTGCTTCTTCCCGGCTATTGAACAGGGATATATTTAGCTTGCTATTACCATCGTGGCGCTGCATCTCATTTCCAGTGAATGTCAATAGGATTTTCAAAGACGTACTTAGTAACTTCTGTTGTAGTTTCTTCCTCGTGATTTTGTCCTTATGAATAATCTATAGTTTATTCTCATGTTGAAGAATGTGTTCTGTAATTCATCGGCTTGAAATGCAGGTCATACCTAATTTCTTTTAAATATTTTTGGCTTATTGGGATCTCATGAATTCTTTCCTGGCTTTATTTTCGTCACTTTCGTTATCATCACTTGTATTATTTGAATGAATTTCCCCAGTCTACGCATGTGACCTAGCAGCTGAAAGTTTTCCAGATGTTGCCGAATTGTGCGATACGAGATCCTCTGTTACTCCCCTGCCCTCTAATCCATTCATGCTCCCACCTTCCAGAATCCCACTCTCATCTTTTTTTCGTGCAACCGTAAACCCAGAGCTGCTCATTTTGACCCATTTCCATACGTTCTGCCTTCTTTTACTCTCTATATCACGTGCAGGCTCTTGCTCTTGAGCATTTTTGTGTTTCAAATCATGATGTGTTCTTGGCAGCACCAGAAGTTTCGGAGACGAAAGCAAAGTTTCACGTGGGAAAGTGCGAATGATCTAGAATTGGATTTCGTTTTTCCATTCTTAAATTTTTATTTTCCTCAATTCACTTCCCATCGATCGTTTTGAAGTCATCGCAATTTCTCGGGGTCGATGATGAAGCGGGAAGGTATAGTTTGAAGTAACCCCTCTTAGATTGAACCTCTCATCGAAAGAGCCGAAGTAAAGTTGTTTCAAGTCGCTTCTTTCGCGCTTTGGCAGATTCATCTTTTCTCTTTGTCAGGGGACACATGTCATTCCCTCACGAATTGTTATCTCCCAGCGTTGCCGCTCTCCGTCGCAGTGCACAAGTGCTCATGTGCATGCTTCAGGTCACGTGGTCTAATGAATGTTGGCAAGCGCGAAGTAACCGTAAATTCTTTATTCCTTTCCCCCGAAAGGTTACTTCGTGCACGTGAGGACGTTGGCGGAGGTGAAAGACCAAGTCCTCAAGTACATTCCGGTCCTTGCCCGCCCTTTGGTCCTTTACGGTGACTTTCATCCCATCGTTTGGACCAATGTTTACGCCGACATCATCGTACGAGTTTCTGTCTCTCGCGATCCGTGGTATCATCGAGGCATTATATATGGATTTTCCCGATACTTTCCATGCTCTTTTAGGAGACGAAGGTGTCCAATTGGCTGTGGGAAAGTCGTCAGAGAGCCAAACAAAAATTCCGGGCGGAGAATTTCCGACGATTCAAGCGGTTCGCCCAAAGTAACTACAAAGGCTACAGTAATGTCTTTCATGAAGAATCTGTTCTCGCATATCTTTTCCTGTTTTAACCTCTCTAAGCGAATCAGATGTGATCTGGATTTCTTGTTTACGTCTTGAGTGCCGTATTTCGTAGTCTCCAGACTGATTTCGCATCTCCTCGCATTCAGATTTAATGTTTTCTTTTTAGGAAAAAAAGTAATGGAATTTTATCGGAACAGGTATCGTGACTGGGGGTATGGAAGGAGATTCCAAGCAGGAGGAATCGCATCAGGATGTCGAAAAAGAGCCAGTAGCATCGGAGCTTAGGAACAGAGTCAAGGAGTCAGGGATCACGATTCCTGCCTCGAATAGAGAAGACGACTGGAAAAAGGTCTATTATGAATATCTTGCGACGGGTGACATTTTTGGATGGACCAGTCACAGGGCCAAAAGAAAGGTACTGACTTCTATCTGTCTGCATCCATTCATTTGCTTTCTTGCACGTAAACCACTATCGATATATGTCGGGTACACCTTGCGTGCTCCATTAACTTTCATTTATCCGTTATGATGTGCCGATTCGTCACGTGAGGAGACTAGCCTTATCCGTTGTTCATTCCTCAGGCCCTGAATATTTCTGAGCCCCCGGAGAAACGAGAGAAGCAATACAAATTCCTCGTGACCGTCTCCACGCCTGTTTTCGACAAACGAGAACGCCAGGTTACTACCATTCCTTTCCTTCAGCACAATGAATTAACAGTTATTTTTATGCTTACAAGCCAAGCTACAATCATTTTGTTCGAGGTGGGCCGGAATTATCGAGGAAATCTCCAAGAAAAAGTGTATTTATGCTTTCTCGAAGTTGTGCATGCGCTTATGATGATTGAACTTTCTTCAACACTATTTCCAGCCGTCAAGTGAAGAAAATTGTGTTTTTTTTTATTGCAAATACTAATGCTTTCTTGGGTTGGCTACTATCTAATCCTTCCTCCCTTGGATCCGGTACGCTTCTGTCCTGCATGGACCTGAACCTGAAGAACGTCACTGAACGAGAACTTTTGCGCGACTCAGTCTGGGTCACCCGAACACGCGAGGTACTCCATTTTTCACTTTGGCTCCTCGTAGTGTCAGATCCAGAGGTAGGCCTGGAGAGAAAAGTACATCGTGTAGAACGTGGCTGAAGAAGTAGCCAGAGAACTGGAAGACTTCTGGAGAAGTACTGCTACGTCTATCCTATCGATAGCATTGGTGTAGCAGAGGATCAGAAGCAGTTTCCGCGTAGGGCAGAGTCGGAAGAGTAGGTGCGTAGTTACTTCCTGTGTAGGCCTAGTTCGATAGCAGAGAGAAAGAAGGGTATGCCTATCAGTTTGATTGGTGCTTTCGGGTGTGTTGCGTCAACGCTGCCGCTCGTGATTGATGAGAGCCGGTAGGCCTCCTCCCGGGCGATGCGTTCTCTCCCTATTTTCATTTCCACTATCAATTCTCCCCTTCTTACGATTGGACCCTTCATTCTATTCTCTGTGGTTGTAGCTGACTTCCTGTAGATCTTCAGCTTTAGTCTATATAGACTGATAGATTGTATAGTATGTAGAGAAGAAGATGCTAGCACTGAACATGTTTTCATGTTGATCGTGGTAGAAGTTCATTCTGATTGATACCATATTGTTCAGTAAATTATTGCTGGCGTACAGATTTATTTACTTCAGAAAGTTAAAGGTTACTTTTTCAGTTCTTTCATGCTCTTGACAATGTATCCAATTGTAAATGGCTTGAATATAAAATAGCTTTCAATTTATATTCTTTTTTATAACCAGGATGTCTGAAGTTTTTATTTTCATTTACGTCGGTACAAAAGCAGACAGAGCACTCTGCTGGTCCCTCTTCCTCATACTATTAGGTATTTGGACAGGATTGGACTGTCACTGACTCACTGAGATGCTATACGCTCAGAAACAAGTTATTCTCTTGCAGGAAACGCGATATGCAGGACAAGGCAAATGGAACCCCCGACTTTTAACCAAGAAATCTTTGCTCTTACTGCAATTATATTCACGAAGCCTACACAAGGCAGTAGTTTGGCCTGTTCCCAAGACACTAGGGAAATTTCACTAACTTTCATGGTGTCGAGGCAAGGGTATAAGCTTTTATTTGAAATAAGTTGGATATTAGAAGTGGACATAGCGTACAGGCAGTTGAGTGGAGAAAACTTCCTCCCGTCATGGTTGTATATCATCAAAGCCACGTCGAACATCTCTTCCACTAAATGCAATCATTAGTAAAATTCAATCTTTTGGCTGCCTTCTAGTTGAAAATAATTTTCACGAGCTTATCTTTCCAATTAATGATCGACGAGTCAATGGTAGGTGTACAAAACGATTGAAGTTTCGTCAGATTTTTCCTTTACGTATGTTGGAAGAGGAGACAGAGGTGTTTTTTTTTGCAGGGACTTGAACCGTGTTCCAAGTTCCATTTCCGATTTATTTTGTATATTCCCTCATACCCTTACTATGGTGCTAGGCGTTTTTATTTATATATAAAATATTAAAATCGTATTAGGAACACATCCATTTGTGCCAATGCATAGTGAACGTTTTTGTAAAAAAAAAAATAGCTTCAGTTAGAGCAGAAATGTAAAGGTTAAAAATAAAGGGTCTTTTTGCAATACCTTGCGTCAACTTCCGTTCCACATACCATGAGTGACTCGAATGTGTCGCATGGTGACGTCAGCCTTCCAGAAACCTTCGCAAGCGCGAGTCGACATGAAGAAACTGTTGCGCTTCTTTTGCTTTACGTGATATACAGGTCCATTTGCTTTCGAAATCATTTCAGCGTCATAAAGAAATCTCACTATCGTGATGTGTCAAGGCGTCGCAGGGAGTTTCCTGCAATCGAACTAACTGTGTTTCCCTTCTCCAAATAGAAACGAACAGCGAATCTCTTGGGAGTCGCAGGAATCGATGTTCCCATCGAGGAGATCCAGGAATTGACCCCGCGATACAAAGTGAGCTCTACGCAATCGTTGAATCGATGAATATGGATCGATGCACTCCTTTGTGTCTTACCGGACGTGGATGAATCTTTCCATTTCAGTTGGGCGTGAATGGTTACGTCTTTATGGTGACTAACAATGGATACGTACTCTTCCATCAGGACCACCGCCCAGTCGTAAGCTACTGCTTTGAAAATGGCTCGAGATGAACGGAACGGAGAAATAATAGAGGAATTTCTTCTTTTTTTTTCCCAGTACCAAGAGTTTATCTTGAAGCCGGACTATAGTGCGGTGGACCTGACAGCGGTGGAGCTCCCAGAGGAAGGTGGTGACTTTCCCCTACGCAACAATTCAAAGCTTCTAAAAGTACGTATTCATTCAACTTCCTTCTTATTTCCATGAAAAAGGGAAACCCTTGAAAACAGGTCGTGTCCATGTATGTTTTTAGATGCGACAAAACATGGTGAATCAGGTGAGCGGGTACGAAAAGCGTCTGAGCGTGAGAATTCATTTGGATTCCATGCGACGGGTGACCGTAAGAGATCAGAGTTATGCCTATTACCCGATCGAAAACACCACCTTCAGTCTGGGAGTCGCTTGGCCTGCCGATTATGGGGACCTCAAGTTTCGGGGACAGGTGGAAATCAAGCTCCAGCAGTCGAGGGTGAACGGTGCGGATCAACACCCCACAAGTCTTCGCATTTGTGAAGGAGTCTGAACCGAAATTTAAATGCTCTTTTATCTTTGGCAGTGACGAGTTACCTGACGGGGGATTTCAACTGGACTGTACATCCCGAGTGGTAAGTGGAAGAGAACGGTTGACACTCTGGTTTCCCCCGCTTTGCCCATATTTAATATTGTGATTGTTGGATCAGGGTGTACTGCAAGTACCGAAGTGTCACGGATCCCCCGTTCGAGTCCCCAGAAATTGAGGTCCTTCATTTTATTGCTCGAACACAAAATGCAGGCTGGCGATGGCTCTCCACCCGAGTCCTTCCTTCCAACATGGACATCGTTCGTAAGTCCTTTCGCCTCTTCCATCGCTCCAAACATGTTCCTTTGAATCACTGATTATTTTCCATTTCTTTTTCATGTTCCACTCGGCAGAACCTGGAGACTACTTTTGTGAGTCCTGCTCATTCTTTACTCTCTTTACTCTCTCACTTTGCGTTCCTGTGATAGCTGAGATTTAAAAAAATTTAAATTTGAGATCATTGAGTTTTTCTTGTCATTTCAGGTGACAAGGAATTGCTTCAGTCCTTGGTGTTCGATGCTCAAGCCACTGACGTCTTCAGGTCTGATAGTCATAACCAGGATTCCCCCAGGTCAGTCGATCTCCATTCTCAACGTTGTCCTTCTAAGTGGTGTATCTGCAAAAATATTCTTTTCTCGACCTCCATACATGGAGGTCGAAGTCTGCTAACCAAAGCAATAAGTACAAAGACTTGAAATAGAAAAGACCTTCATGAAACGAAAGGAAATTTTAAAATAGCATGAGGCGAACCCTTACAAAACATCCACCTGCATCCACCTGGCTGAACTACTAGATGGATAGGAAGTGGATTAGGAACCAGGTTCCTTGGGGTAGAACCTGATTCCACCTAGAGGAAATCCACCAGGTCATTCGCGCATGCGTTTTTCGAACCAGGCGGATGTTCCGGGTGGATTTTTAACCAGATGGACATCGATCACTCCAACTGGTGGAAATACACCAAAAGGGACATCCACCTGGCATGTGAAAAGTGGCTTTCATCTCTTAACTACTATTGTGACGATGGTGAGAAATGTGCTAATGGATGACTGTGTCCCTTGACTAAAAATTTAAAAGCCGGCCAAATGCAGGAGCCAAGGACGGAACCAAGAATCCGATGCATTATTTAACCCACTTGGTTCCCAGGTACAGTTTCACAAATGCTCCGGTCTGGTCTTCTCTTATCTGGAATACACTTTGAGATCCTGGAGTAGGAAGATCCTTTCCATCCTGTTTCTATTTCTACGGAAATGCCCAGCTTCCAAATGTTTACTCAAACCCATCCGATGCTATTTCGTCGGTCTTCAATTTCTCTGACCAAAGCCAGGCGTTTTCGTAGTTGACTTCTTAAAACCCTTGTTTACCGTAGAAGTGCTGCAGGATGAAGGTGAGTTCAAGTAGTCTTCGTCCTCGAAAGTTTACTTGTCCGAAACGGGATGGAACATCATGCTATCCTTCGATTTCGTATCCTATTGTTCACTGCATATCCCATTTACTTCTTAGTACATTCCCTCCGCAAGAGAGCCATCACATGATTACTGGAAGGACCGACCTAAAAGAAGGTGTAATATGCAGGTCTTGCCGATAAATGGTTGACCGTGTGACCTTCTTCTCGAAAAAATTTTCTGGGCTTCAACAATATCAAAATTGTCTATTGATTCGGTCATGCAGTTCGACAAAAGTCGAATTGCGTGGGAAAGTCGCTTTAAACAGCAGTTATTCAAATGATAGCAAGTTTTGTAGAGGTACGTACTCATAAGTTTATACCCTGTATAATAATGGCCCCTCCACTGTATGATATTTTCCATATCCTTTAAAACCACTTTAGATCAGTGAGACAGGACAAAAGAAGTCTGACTAAATAGTGGTTGAGCAAAGGCCTTCATCAATCCATTCTTTCTCTGAGGACTGTTTCTTCCAGTAATTGTGCATGACGGACTTCAATTGCATCACCAGTTTCCACACACTGCATATTTGCTAGGCGCTGCAAGCGAATACTTTTTACTGCAGTGCATCCACAGTACAGATATAACGTAGTTTAGCGCTGTGAAACTTATCATGTAGTTTCTGGTAACTAGTTGGAGAGGCATCTTGAGATGGTTCCTTGTAAAAAAAACTACTGTTTGCATAATTATACAATTTGATTTCTCATACATTTTCCGTGATTTCTCAAGACTCAAACACTCTTTGCCAGTTTTAATCTTAACTATTTGTATTTCATGTAGTACCGCAACTATTACATCTCACAACAGAGGAAACACGTCTTCTTGGGAGGAAGCCTTCTGATTCGGTTGTTCCTTTTCTTTCCACCTTCGTGCCTTGTAGTGCAGGGGAGCTGAATGCTGTGGTGAGGACATTCGTGGCGACCCGGAGTGGATTGACTCGATGGCGAGACTATCATCCGGTTCACTTGATCCCCAACACCCCTGGCGTGAACATTCCTGGTGACTTTGTCACGGAATTTGCGGAAAACGACGTGTGAGTCTTCGCACCTTTTCTGGGTTTCAGAGGGTTTTTCAAGGACATTTGACAGGTGATGTCGCTATACCGATCGGTAGACACTGGAGTAAGGTGAACGTGAGGTCGGTGGAAGAGGCCTGGTATCGGAAGGCGGTCGACTACAATATGCAGGAGTCGGAAGAGAAATCCGTCGTTTTCTCCGTGCCTTTCGACGCCAGTCTGCACATTCATTCTTTCTTTCCTTCTCTTTTGTGTTTCTTATTCTGATGACCTTGGAGGGACGATATCGTTGTAGTGGACTACAAGAATCCATTGGTGACGGCGACTCGTACGGTGATCCTTCATAACCCAAGGGATCCCCATAAGAAGACCCCCGTTGCCGTGGTTGGCGTGCAGTTCAACCATTCCTATTTCATCCGACAATTCTTCATGGAGTCCAACAAGGTTCACTTTCCTTCCTTCTAATTTTTCTTAATTAATATCTCATTCTTTCTTACTGGCCTTCCCCACTTATCAGATTCTGGTCCCATAACGAAATACGTGTTTCAAAACGGAGAAAAGACTGAAGTCTAAATAGAACGATTTAAGCATCATGGGACAAGTGTTTTAAGTTTGCAAGAACAGGATTCTAAATTAAATCATGTGAGGGTACTTTTTCTGCCCTGAAACTTCAGAATCGAGGGAAAAGATCAGTCCATAAAATGGAAAAACTAGAAAACAAAAGGTAGAATACCTGAAAATTGGTGGGAAAATTGGTCGAGAAAGAGTAAAAGCAACGGAATGCTGGAACTCCGAGCTTTTGACTTTAACCAGGACTAATATAAAAAAACTAAGAAGCATCTGAAAATAAAAGAGTGATGAAACACAAAGAAAATAAAAGGGAATATACAGTAACGCTGTAGGATAAAGTTGCTTTGTACTGTATAAAATATATACAGTATACAAGCTGTAACCGCACCGTTCTAAAGCTTATTTAACAACCGTTCTTTTCCACATATTTCCGATTCCAAATGGTGAAGTATTTTTTCTGAGCGAGCGCGACTAATTGAACAATTGAACAATTGCTCAAACAATTCGTCTGCTTGAACAATTTTTTAGCACTTAAGCTTGAACCATAGTACCTACGTAAACAGTAATTATGGGAGCTTGAACCCTGCACTCTCCTAATTACTGTTTGCGAAGGTAATCTCATTGGTGGGAGGAAGAGGAGGGAGAGGTGGAGATGGGCTGGGGGATCGTTTCGAGTCACCCTGTACATTTGTCATTTGCCCTTTCTTTGCACTGAACACATGCCACTCAGCCCTCTACTTGGAAAAGAGGAAAAGAGAGCGATGTTGTATACCTTCCATTAGATGTTGACCTGGGGCAAAGTGTTAACCTGGGTAAAGAGGAATGGCATTCCATTTTGCCTCGTAACTTTCTGGAGAAGTTGAGCTGTTGAGCAGAAAAGTCTGCATTCCCAAGATTTAAGCGTTCGGTGGGATTTATAGCAAAATGTTCCATGCATAGCTTAACATTTGTCACCTTAAGCTTCACCTTAAGTCTGTAGTTTCAAGGTAAGGCAATAATCAATTAAACCAAGACTAACTGAACGAGCGAAAAGCACGTTGAGACCTCTTGCAAAAAAATACTGGCCAAATTGCTAGCTTCTTTCCTTCTTTCTACCACTAATAAACCCGATTTCAATAGATAGCAGACTCTGTTAAGATCTGTTAAAGCTACCATTTCATTTTTTCCGGTCAAACCTACAGAAAAATGCATAGGAACCAAATGGTAGATATTTCAAGATAAATACTTTTTGTCACCTGAAAATATCCCTTAGTTTCCTCCTCCCATGGGGAGATGAGATATGCCACCTCAATTTTGGGTTTTACGGGAAATAGCACAATCAGTGATGAAGTTGTATCTTGATCTCTAGGTGAACTAGAGGTGTTTATATAAAATAAAAGCACATTATGTACCAATACAATAATTATTCAGAAGAGTGTTCGCATTTTCATTAATGAAACAGTTCGACATTGCATGTCACAATTATCCTGTCTCCTTTCCTAAGGTTGTGAAGGTTAACCTCCACTGATTCTTATTAGTTTGATTTCTCTCGATTATAGGGCAACTGGGGGAATATGGGCACCTGTTTACGTTCCCTCGCAGTACTCCTGTTGAGAGATAAAAAGTCTGATGAGTTGCCAATGGTTCTCATGTAGTGATACTTCCTGTCAGGAATGTTTTCGTGGTATTGGACGTGTTTTTGTCAATAGCATTTACAATGGCAGGGTCTTCCATTTATTGTCATATTTGTGACAAATTGCTGTTTAGTATGTCGTGGATCGCCTCGCAAGGGAGCTCTGAGACCTTTTTCCTGTTTCGCATGGTTTCCTGAGAATTAAGCTGGGACCACTGAGCAGGATTGCTTATTACGCTGCTCTGGTGCTCTAGCAAGGGAGCTGCATGACCTTTCGTCGATTATCCGGTCCATCACGCGAAATAGTATTTAAGAGGAAGTCAGTATTTGCTGTGATCGAGTCTACCTTGACGTTCGTAATTTCATGGTTGTTTAATAATGTTGACAGTGCCATTAAGGGTAGTATGGACATTCAAATTGTTACTGTTTATTCGTATTTCAGATGCCAACGTACTTTGATAAGCACTCCGATGGGCTTATATGACACTTAAAAAACATATAGGGCTGTGCAATATGAGTTTTAAAGGGATCGATGTCGCCAAGCATATATCGCACGATATCGCCATATAACCAATCCCATGAGTTGGAATAGGAAACGCTATGAAAAATTATTCATGGCGCAGATACCGTATTGGAAAATGGGGATAGTGTCACATGGTGATGCATGTCATCTTCTAGCTGGGCTCCGTAGGTCTCATGGCTGGTGTGCAGCACTCTGGAACGAAACGTTCCGCTTTTCGTTTTCCCTTCACCAAGCTCTTCCCATGCAGGCCTAGTAGTTTTGTGGAATGGAAAAGGGCGATGAAAGCTTTCATGTTCAGGTTTCCTTCTTCAATTCTACAGCTTTTCTTTCTGTAATCAGCCATAGTCAGTGTTGTATGCATATAAGAATTATCTGTGAGGGGCAATATGATGCTGGAAAACAATATCGCGATAATTGGCAAAACCCTAAAAACATGCAAGGACAGTTTCACATGGTTCTATGAGAGTTAAGTCGGGCCACTGAGAGGGATTGCTATTCTGCCTGGAATATGAATTGTTTTAGAAAAGAAAGAAAGCAAACGTTAGGAGGGCATGACACATATTCCACAGCGAAAAAATGGAAAGTGGAGTTCAAACGGAGCAAAAGGAGCATTGCAGCTGATCCACGATACGGACATCCTACAATGGCACACGCATAGAAAAATGTGGATGCCATTCATATAGGACAGCAGACACACCTTGCGTGATCTTGCTGAACATGTTGAGATATCGTCTGAACGAGTGCTTAACATTCGGACCGATACTCTTGCTCTCAGAAAAGTTTAGGCCAGGTGGGTGCAAATAGAGCTTAGTGTTTGTTCGGGCCCAGGCATCAGAAGTTGTTTCGTAAATTTTCGAGTCAATCCCAAATACTTCCCTACTTAGTTGGTCACCATGGATGAGACGTGGGTCCATCACTTCTATCTGCGAACAAAACAAAATCCATACTGAAGATACATGTTGACGTCCCACTTCCGCGCAGGTTTTATTTACTTTCCATCAGCATGAAGACCATGGCGTCCGTGTTCTGGGATATTGAAGGTATACTACTAATTCACTACCTGGAGTATGATTGTATTAGCACAGGCGCGTACTGTGCAGATCTGCTGCTTCAGTGGCTCAATGGAATGAAGGTCAAGGGTCCAGGGAAGTCGCATCTTGGTGCGCTGTTTCATCATGACAATGCACGATTCCACACTCACGCGTTGCATTGTATGCAATCAATGAATATGGCCTTGAACTGCTGACGCATCCGCCTTTTCCCTAGACTTTTCCATTTCCGACTTTATCTGTTCCGCCATTAAAAACACCCCATAGGAGTCAGATTGGACTGATGCTGTCATATTAACTCCTTACAGGAGGTTACAGGGGCAGGACATCGCCTTCTTCCACGAGTGTATTGAAGTCCTGTAGTATCGCTGGTCCAAGTCTGGGGATATCAGGAGGGAAAACGTAGAAAAGTGTTGCATCATCATACATCAATTCCATCATAGTCAAGCTTAGAATTTCTCCCACACCTCTCATATAGACCAATGCATGAATGCTCCCATTATGCTTTCTGATGACAGTTTCAAATAGGACACTTTAAGTACAGTACTTCACTTCTCTAGGTGCTTTTTCCAGGTTTAGTATGTTCTCCTCTCGCATGTACGCTTTTCCCTTGGATCATTCAAATTTAACTGAGGAATTACGAATAGTTAACAATGAAAGGGGAGTCCCGAATTGTGCAACCGGCATTGCATAGCATGAACCCATACAATCCTGTAGTCTAACGCAAAAGGTATTAACTGCTATCTTAAAAAAAAAAGTCATGGCATCCGCCAGAAAAATATAGCAGAATCCACATATATCTTCCGTGTTCTTCTGGCATAATCCAACGAGATGGCGAGTGTCAAAAAGTAAGTATTTCCAGAGGACTTCAACTGCAATGGCAATAGGCAAAACAGAGCCATGCTGCAGAAAGGAGTAAACTTCGTCTCCCTTAGAGGAGTCCAAATCTTTTCGAGACGGCCGGAAGCCAGCGTGTTGTAGTCATGTAAAGAACATAAGCGGGTGAGCCATGTTTTAAAAAAGGGAGAAGGATAAAATAGGAATGGCCAACACGGAGCGGTTAGTGATTTTGATAATGCAATAAAAAAAAGGAGAAGAGCTGTGTTTATGCAGAGAAAAATTAAACGATAATCGAATAGACCAGTGGTTCTCAACCGGTGGGCCGCGGCCCACTGATGGTCGTGGAGGTGCCGCGGGTGGGCCGCAACAAGTATCCGTAAATTTAAAAATAACAATTAACAGATAGACGAAAAAAAAATTATAAAGCTTATAAGTCTGTAGTGGGCCTTGGATCACTTTGCAGTCGTTAAGGTGGGCCGTGGGATCGAAAAGGTTGAGAACCACTGGAATAGACCACCTATGCCCTCTGAACTAATTGGTGGATATTCTATATTTACGCTATACATGTCTGACGCCTCTAGTATTTTCTCCTTTACTCGTGTTCTGCAGTGTGCTGAGCAGTCAGGTCCCCAAGCTCTCAACTGTAGCCACCCCACGTGTATGTCGGAAAGCTTGGATTGCTACCTTTTGGACGACAATGGGTACATCCTTGGCTCTGAAAGCGATAAACACGTGGGAAGATTCTTTGGAGAAGTAGATGGAGCCATCTTGGACTCCCTCATTCAAGATGGGGTCTATAGACGCGTCCGTATCTTCGATTTTCAAGGCGTCTGCTTCGAAGTCGTCGCCTCTTCAGGACCCGGATCCATCCTGCTGACTGTACATAGAAGAGAAACAATATATTTTTCTCCGTTTCTAAATATTTTCCTTGATCATGTTTTCGAAGAACATATATATTTATTTTTTTTTTAATTTTTTCCTTTGTTCGATCCTGCAGCCATTGAAGTATGCGTATTCCGCCTTGCTCTGGCTATGGGGACACCTTCTGTATGTATGGAGTCATGCCAGCCTAGTTTCCATCCTTCAGTCTCCTTCCCTCGTCCTCTCACAGTTCACTAACGACGAAAGTGAGTTCTTTCAAGCATCATACTTACATCACATCTGCATCATATTTACATACTCTCCCTCGATAATGTGGAAGAGTTTCGAATCGATTTGCATTCAATCATTCATTGAGAAAGATAACACACAGCAATAGTAGTTGAATTAAGCCGTTTTCTGGGTTCTACAATAAGCTTGGATATGGCACCTGTTCAAGACAACATAATACGCTTTCTGGAAGCATAGTTCCCATCAGAAAGTTCCCTCTTACACCTCTTTAGCCCTTTTTGAGACGTAGACATTCTTCCTTTCGCTAGTGCGAGGTGGTACTGAAAAAAAGCTCAACCCTCACCATATACGAAAGCTTCTTGTCGTTTTCGAGATCTTTATCTGCAGTTCCATGGACACAGAAAGTTCGCGAATCTTGATCTTCCATGTGAAATGCTAAAATAAAAAAATACAATAACTGTAGTTTCCAAAAGAAGAATCTTCGGAAACCCCACTCGCTCGATAAACGATGGCAATGACGAAGAGGGAGTTACCAAATTCCATGTCCCTACTACAACTAAGGATAAAGGAAGTGTAAATCCCTTGACCTTAGGTCTTACCTCGTGTCTCAGGTTGTGATGTCACCCCTAATAATGAAAAATTTAATGTCGGTTTTCCTTGCTGATTTTCACCATTGGAGTGTGGAGTGGGAGCCTAAATCGTAGTTTGCAACACTGTTGGTTCGAGAAATCCATGGTGCCTCATGAGCAAAAAGGCACAGCCGCTGAAAGCCTTAAATGTTATTGGTCCCTACGGGGGCCTTAACTTTAACTTTAAAGTCTTGTGTACGAGATGGTACTTCTTTAATTGAAGTTTGCAATTTCTGCTTCCCCCCTTTATACCTGGTGTGCATACCCATATAGGTAAACTTTTATTTTTTCCCCTTTAAACGAAAGACCATTTGTACACCTGCATGTACATTTAAGGCCTCGTTTACTATTACATTTAAAGATTTGGAAAACCCTTTAAGTAACTTCTTTTCACATCACAATACCGTATTATAAAGGAAAAAAAAACTATCAGAAATAATTCAGGCCTGAAGGGGTTAGTGGTGTAATTGTAACTGGCTTCACGAGATTTATAATCTGCCAAATCCACAATTACAGATAGAAATGTAGACTGGTATTCGAGAGATTTCCACTATGGAAAATGATGCATTCTTTTACTTCTTTGATTCAATGAAATACACCTATTAGAAGAGGCAGCTTCTGATTGGTGAATTGACTTCCGATTTGAATACTGTCATGCATCCTCATTGGATGCTGATTGAAGACCGATTGGATAAATACGGTGCGTATGAGCGAGAGTACCTTCAGACATAGGATGATGCTGCAACGCGGATTGTAAGATCAATATACTGTAAATCCTTGTGTACATGTTTAATTGAAAACATATAAATATAGATTTAATTGAAGAGTCAATTGTGAAAATATCATCGTGTACAGCAAGCTATATATTTGACTTGAGGTAGCCTCAATCTTCGCAACCCCTGCCCAGTCTCTGTTCCGATCGGCAGGGCGGAACTGAGAAGCCCGCATTTAACAGTCGAGATCATATAGAAATCAATAACCAGAAGAGATGGCGCCTTTGGAGTTCACCGTTGTACCTCTGAATTATCCTTACCTGAGAGCTAGAAGGCCTTCGACACATCTTAGATAGTTGGGTTGGAAAATCTAAAGCTCTGCTTTGAACCATCGAGGGTTGTCCACAGATAGCCCCACTTCAAGCAAGATAGGCCAGAAGCAACACTTCTTAATCAGCTGGGTTCATAATTCCTTGTCAACTGCGTCTCATTCCCCCTCCTATAAGCAAACTTCACTCTGGTATTGCGAGATTTATTGTGAGGTTTTCGATAATGCAAACAAAACTTAACGCTGTAAGTAATACAGGGTGTCTCAAAAAATGCTCAACTGCAATTAGCTTTTTCTTGAATTATACTGGATTAATAAAAAAAATTTCTAAGACTATCATGAAAACGCTTCTTTTATCTTTAAAGCCGCGTGAAAAGTGGTCAATTCTGGAGAAATTTATTTGCAGACTCAAAATCAGAAGAGGCAGAAGCAAGCCATCTAACGGAGAAAAATAAAAGCAAATGAGGACCTTGTATATTCGAAATAAAAGGAATTAAAAAAATTTTCGAACTTAAAAGTACTAAAAATACTTGCCACTACCCGACCCAATTTTATGAAGTGATTGAAGGACACGATAAAGGTATCATCCGCGACGCCAGCTCACCTTCGAACGCTTTTCAAGATTCTCGACGACTAAATTCTTTCTTTCTGGGCAGATTTTCTGATGAAAGCATGAGAATCAGCAGTGCATGACAGAATTTCACTCTCTGACCGGAACTTAGGGATCATTAGAGTACTCGAGTGCTTGCATCTCTGAATCCTCAACTAGGCACCGAGAAGTGCCTAATTAGCTTCTCTTAATCTTGGTAAAGTCAGGTTTGTCTTTAAAGATCTCGCCTCAGAATTGGTAGATTTTCATTTGGCTTTTGCTGCGATAAATCATAATCTGTCTTCTTTGGAACTGCTGGAAATGTTTATTTCGGCAAGTTGTAATGCAAGAAAATCAATCATAAGGATGCTAATTTTTATTTAGACACTTGTACTTCACACCTTTCGGAATAGCTTTGTATAAGGGGCCTTCAAATGAAAAGTGGACAAGTCGAAGATAAAGCATAAAAGATTTATTTATCTATACAAATTCGCCATGCCTGTTGAGACATGTGTCCCAACGTGAAGTTAGCAATATGATACCCCGTTCGTAGAACGACTTGGACTGTTGCACGAGGAAGACTGTGACCATGCGCTGCACCTCTTCGTCCGACTTGAACTGCCTTCCTTTCATGGCTTTCTTTAGAGGTCCGAAAATGTGAAAATCACCTGTGGAGAGGTCAGGACTGTAGGGAGGGTGTTCCAGGCACTCCCAACCATACCTGTTCAACGTTGTTACCGTTAATTTGGCAGTATGGGGTGGCCGTTGTCAGGCAACAGAACCACCTTCCAGCTCAAAAGTCCTGGACGCTTCGACTTTATTGCCTGTCTTAAACGGCCCAAAGTTTTGCAATATCGTTGCGAGTTGATGGTGTCACCACAGTTAAACTGTGGTGACACCATCAACAGTGGACCCTGATAGTCAAAGAAAAACGTCAGCATAACTTTTCCTGCGCTGGGCATTGACCGTGACTTCCTGGGTGGTGGGGAGGATGGATGCTTCCATTGCATGCTCATTTGCTTTGTTTATGGACCGAAATGGTGACACCATGACTCGTCACCTGCAACAATACGGTGGAGAAATTCGTCACCTTCCTGTTCATATCTGATGAGATGTTGATGACCTTTTGCTCGGTAGACAGGTGTTTTGAGACCCGGTGGGCGCAGACTTTGCGGAAGTTGAGGTACTGATGCAAAATTGTGCAGACAGTTCCAGTGCTGATATTCGCTAATGCCACTACCTGTCGCATGGTTACACGTCTGTCATTCATCACAATGTCATTCACTGCAGCAACACTTTCATCCGTAATGGCGTGGTGCGCCTGACCTGGTCTGGGATCATCCTCAATCGATTTACGTCCCCTGTGGAATTTCGCACACAAAGTATGCACTGCTGTTCTACCCAAACAGTGCTCACCATACACCTCCTTCATACGCCTGCAAACATCGGATGGTATTGTTCCTTCTGCCACTAAAAAGAAAATTACCGCGCGTTGTTCAACTTTGGAGGCTTCCATGAGGGGTCGGACTGGAATTCACACAACGTCTATCACGTTCACGCCGATACTTGCGACTGATACTGGTGTTGAGTTTCTTCTAATATAAACCTGTTTCCCTGTGTGAGGGCTCAACGATCGCTGTCAATTACCTAGATATAGGAGTTGTCTACTTATCATTTGAACGCCCCCTATATACTATATATAATCAAATCTAAATTAAATGAATAGCGTAATGAAAACATACTATAGATCCTAATAACGGATTTTTGACTTCCTGAACTCGATGGAAGGCCTTAGCTGCCCATTAAGATGAAGCCACGCATTCCTCCAGAAACCATAGACTCTATTGGTTGCGCCAGGATAGGCTGCTCCATTTATTAGTTCCCGAAAGCTTGAAGCTTGCAGGCCAAAAGATGACGTCAGATATCCTTTGAAATTTCCATTTCACTCTCTTCATTCTTCTCTTGTTCCATATGTCATACGCTCCAATTGAGCATGGTCGGTTCGTGTTGTTGTCCAGACCCATTCGACGATGGACATATGGAATACGGAGATATGGAGCACCCCGAAGATGAGGAGCACCCAGGAGGAGGAGAACACTTTGATTCCAAGCAGGAGCCGTTGACGTTCAAATGGAGCGATGCCATATAGTTGTTTTGTGCCCGGTTTGGTACGCTGGTTGTCTACCTGGAGGAGTACGAGTTACAGGGAGCAGAGCCTCTATTGTAGTAGTTCCCATTTGAGTGGTTGACGGTGTTCAGGCCAACACTTCGGTAACCAGTCTCATGTCTCAAAAAAAAATTTTCAAGTTCATCTTGAAAATTTTTCAAGTTCATCTTACGGTATATACGTTTTTTATGTCTTTTGCTTTGCGTTCGGATTTGGTGGATGTGGGGAAGGCCATTCACGGTGAAGAAAGTGCGTGGGACGAACCTAGTGTTCGTGGCTGTGGAAAGCACTTGCATGTGTGAGATTCAGACCCGAATACTCATCCAACCCTTGGCAGTCGAGCACAATCAGTCGATGGAATGCGATCGAATCAAAACTTCAGCTCTCTATCGGAAAAGACCTCCCGATTGCAGAGATTATCATCCCGAGGTCTCTCTTCGTTTCCTGAATACAGTGCATGAGGATACGTTTGGCCATATTAAAATAATAAAAATAGAGAAAAGAACTTTTCCTCGCCCTCTATCTTCTGACGTTGCTTTCACTTTTCTCTTGGCCTCTGTAAAGCGAGACGGAGAGAGAGGAGGAGAAGCACTGGAAGTGGACGATCCTCCTGTGATCCAAGTGACCAACTCCAATGAGAAAAATTTTACTCTTGTGATATTTCAAGTCGACTCTACCCGATCGTCTACAGTGAAGGGGAGTCATCACCTGTTTTTGCCAAATGTTTGCCTCGTTTCTTTAGTGTTGCTCTTGCCATGACTCGATTCTTGCCAAGATCTGTCTCTTTTTTATGTCTGACAGCAGCCGGGCACCTGTGCAATTTCGCGAATTTCGGTTTGCTCTCTTTCCTCCCCCCCCCCTCCCCTGCCCCTTTTTTTCTGCTCCCCTTTAACTGTATTCCCTAGTGTGTACTAGTCCACAGACGCTATTCATTTTAGGGAACATACGATGTTCCATGGATGCATATCTGAATATGGCTGAGAGATCTCGAGGGTTCAACATATCCGATCGGATAGGCTTTTTTCTACGATTACCCTCGATTCACTGGACTTCCATTTTTTCCGCACCGATGTGATGCCAAGTGCTGGAATCTGAGATATTCTAGTAAGTTTTTTTCCTCTTGTTATCAACGATCGTGTGCACAACGTTATTCATAGAAAGAATAATAGCATTTCCCATTCATCATCGTATTTAGATCAGAATTTTCAACCGTGTTGTTTATTATCAGTGCTATCAGACCCGAGTGTTCCTTCACTTTTGTGTTGATTTCACTCATTGGGTCCTACTGTTGAAGGATGATGTGTGCGTCAGTCAGTCGGTTTCTCTACCCACCTCTAGTAATAATAATACATGTTTTATAAGTCTAAATCATGATATTGACGATGAAATAGGAGTGGATAATAAAGGATGAATATTCCCGTGTTTTCCCTCGCCCTTACACAGTGATTACCTGGAGAGCACAATAGTAATTTCCAGGAGGGCTTGACCTTGAAGAGTCTTTCTTTCTCTTCTGTCTGTCTCTAACGAGAGGCCTGCCTTCCTGCCTTCGCTTACGTTCTGCGGTACAAGCCAAGGACGAACGGGTGGTGAAAGGAGACGCTCTTACCCTGCAGTTTCTGGCCCTTTTTTACTGTCTGGGGATGTGAACCCCTGGGTAAACATTCATTCCAGTTATCTCTCTGCCGTCAATGTTCTTGCACATAGTCAATCCAAACTAGAAGTGGAAGTCGGTCGTGTTCCCCATTACTTCACAAGGTAAGGCTATCGTTAGGTTATTTCACAACACTGTCAAAATTCACTTCCAAATCTCATCCGTCAACTTATGGCAAAATTGTGCACACTCAAGCATGTGGCCGCCAACATGAACAGTAATGGAGATTACCCATTATCACTAAAATTGCCATATTTGTTCCGGGTGAGTAACGGTCACTCATTTCCGGCCAATTTCAGTGCACACAGCGGGAGCACTTTTCACTGGACTTCAACTATAAGTCCAAATTATTGTAAATAACTTGCAGAATTGGAGTAAAGCTTAAGGAAGTTAAAAAGAGGTTTGCGAAAAATCCCATCTTAGAAAAAGTGTCCTGCAGCCTGGGGGTTGAGGCCATATTTCCTGGCTTTGAAACATATTCTCGCTCTCTCTCTAAATAAGAAAAAAAATTAAAAGCATATATATGCAAATATATACTTATTTATTTATTTATTTATTATTCGATCTTGCAACCGTTGAAGTATGTGTATTCCGCCTTGCTGTGGCTATGGGGACACCTTCTGTATGCCAGTTTAGTTTCCATCCTTCAGTTTCCTTCCATCGTCCTCTCACAGTTCACCAATGACGAAAGTGAGTTCTTCCAAGCAACATTCTTACATGCTAGGGTCTCTCTTTTCCTCTCCCTCGATGATGTGGAAGAGTTTCGAATTGAATTTTTTATTCAATCATTCCTTGAAAAAGATAACACACTGAGCAATAGTAATTGAGTTAAGCCATTTCCTGGGTCCTGCAAGAAGCTTGAAAATGGTTCCTATTCAACAGACATAATACGCTTTCCGGGAGCATATTCTCTCATCTGAAGGTTTCCCTCTTTCACCTCTTTTGCCCTTTTTGAGACTTTCTTCCTGTCTCTAGTAGTATCAGCAAAGAAGGCTCAACATTTATCATCTTCCACAGATTCTTGTCGTCGATCTTTCCCTGCGGTTCCATGGACACAGAAGGTTCGCGAATCCTGATTATGTAAAATGTTACAATTTAAAAAATCCAATTTTAGTAGTTTCCAAGATAAGAATCTTCGGAGACCCCACTCTCTAGATAAACGATGGCGATGACGAAGAGGGAGCATATTGAGTCAACAAATTCCATCATGTCCCTACCACAACTGAAAAAAGGAAGCGGAAATCCCTTGACCTCACATCTTAGCTCGTGCATCAGGTTGTGATATTATACCTAATTTATTGTGATATTATTATCCCTCGTGCAAAATTTAACGCCGGTTTCCCTTGCTGGTTTCCCTACTGGAAGCGTGAAGTGGGAGCCGAGCCGAAGTTCTGTTGGTTCGAGTAATACATGGAGCCTCAGAAGCAAAAAGTATAGGTGCCAAAAGCTTCAAATTTCCTTGGCCCCTACGGAGACCAAACAAAAACGCTAATGTAAGTTTTAGAAAAGTGATCAATTCTGAGGAAATTTATGAGGGACTCTAAATTAGGAGGGGTAGAGGCGGGCCATCTCACGGATGAAAGTAAAAGCCAATGTACATTGGCAATAAAAAAGAATGAAAAAAAAACACTGCGAACTTACGAGTACAACGAAAATACCTTCCGCTACCTGAACCACGTTCATAAAGTCGTTGAAGGACGTGTTGTAGGTGTCTTCTACGTCACCAGCTCACCTCCAGACTCATTTTAAGATTCTGGATGACTAAATTTGAGACACCCTGTAGATGTAAATAACGCATTTTCGGCTTCCTGCACATGATGGAAGGCCTTAGCTACCCATTAAGATGAAGCCACGCGTTCCTCCTGAAACCATAGACCCTATTGGTTATACCAGGATAGGATGCTCCATTTCCATCCTTAATTCCCGAAAGCTTGAAGCCTGCAGGCCAAAAGATGACGTCAGGAATCCGTAGAATTCTTCCTTACGCCCTTCTTCCCTTGTGTCTCGTTCCTGTACATATGCCCCAAATGAGCATGATCGGTCGATGTTGTTGCCCAGACACATTCAACGATGGATACGGAGATAAAGATACCCTCGAAGAGGAACACTTTGATTACGGGCAAGAGCCATTGACGTTCAAATGGAGCGATGAGTATATCAACAAAACACGGGCCAAACCATGCGACCAACAGATGGACCTCCTCATGCTCAATGTCCCTCGTCTCGGAGATAACATCATCAAGGGTAAACTCACCAACTGCCACAAGTCCGGTTGTGAAAATGCAAACCGGTATAATTTTATTATTTTTATCTCTTTTCTTGAAAAGGAGCGGGAGATAGAAGACTGCAACGAAAGTGAAAAGAGAACCGGAGACATTTCGCTCTGCCTCTCTCTCCTCCTCTTCGTTTGGAAGTGGACGATCCTCCTGTGATCCAAATGACCAACTCCAATGAGAAAAATTTTACTCTTGTGATATTTCAAGTCGACTCTACCCGATCGTCTACAGTGAAGGGGAGTTATCACCTGCTTTTGCTAAATGTTTGCCTCATTTTTTTTGTGTTGCCATGACTCGATTCTTGCCAAGATCTCTGTCTCTTGGCAAGAATCGAGTAATGTCTTTGTTATGTCTGACAGCAGTCGGGCACCTGTGCACATTCGCGAATTTCGGTTTGCTCTCTTACCCCCCATGCCCTTTTTTCCTCCTCCCCTTTGATTGTACGAGGGATGTCCTGAAATAAAGTGAAACTCATACAGTATGTCATAATGCAAGATGCTGACTTTTTATTCCCTTTTTCTCTGTAGGTTTTTTGAAGTTCCATGGAATTTTTGCACAATGTTTTGGCCAGCGTGAGTGACCGAAGTTTGCGAAAAGGCTCCCTAAGGCCCCCTCCCCTCCTGAGGTGCGGTTGTATGACCGTGACTTTCGTGCAATGATTTTCTGTAGTTTCATGCTCTGAGAAACTTCGTCTGCGTGCCATGAAAGGCTTGTTATAACCCATTGACACTGTAAAAAGTTTATGTATGACTGGTTTACGTTGTTCCAGTGTGGTCAGACTTATTCTGATGATGCCCTTAGTGAAGGGCCTCCAAAAACTGCTGTTATTGATGTAAATGAATGTGGAGAAGGTCGATAGTCTAATTGAAGATGATCCAAAAATAACTTGAAAAATAACCGAAAATAACCGAAAAATAAATAAAATTCAGTCCAACAGCGAGAAACAGGCCAGAGTGAATTTCTGGAAAATTATGTTCCTAAAATTCGACCTGGGGCGCTCAAAACGTGTCTCTGAGATCGTTACTGGTGATGAGACATGGCTGTACTACTATGACCCGCCAATTAAAAATCAAAATCGAATTTGGGAGTTCGAAGGGGAGGATTTGCCAACAAAAGTTCTCCGATTGCGTTCCGTTGCGAATATCGTGGTGGCAATTTTTTTCCGTAGAGACGCAGGAGCAAAGACGTGTGAAAAAAAGAATCCAACCACTCACACACAGCAGTCTTCACTTCATACCCGCTAAACTGGCGATCACATAAATGTTTCTTCAGTTGTCGGAACAAATAATAATCACTTGGGGCCAGGTCTGAACTGTAGGGTGGGTGAGAGATTTCCTCAAAGCCTCAAACAGCTCAAAGATTTCTTTTGGTGAAATCCCTTCTTTTGAAAGGAACTTTCATAACAGCTCGATACTCCAGCTCCGTGATGTCCATTTAACATTGCTCTCGACTAATCTGCTGAAACACCTCTTGCTCCCTCCGAGTAATATTTATGCCTCAACGTCCCTAACTCTGCTTAAAAACAGTTCTTATCTCTCCTCTTTCATACTCAGGTAGATAACTTTTCAAGTGACCCTCGTAAGAAGACTGTGACAGCCGAGTGGACTACCAATCACTGTCTGACTCCCGCGTTTGAGAGGATTCAGGAACTCTGACTTCGGGATTCCCTTTCGAAGATTCTCTTCCACCGTGACGATGTTCCTCCTCAGACGGCCAAGCTCACCGTTGATTTATTGAAGGAGAAAAATGTCCGTTTGCTTCCCCACCTGTCCCGGATTTAACGCCGTGCGATTACTTCCCCTATCCCGAAAATGAAGGAAAAATTGCGCGGCATCCGCTTTGAATTGCGCGCGAAGCATTGCTGAATCGAGCTCAAGAAGTCGTGGACGAATTCAAAAAATATTATTTCCGGTCATGTTTCGACAGCTTGCTTGAACGCTTTCACAAGTGCATCGAGGCTGACGGAGAATACTTCGAAAAGTCTCGAAAAGAATGTGCTTTCCGGGGCTATTGAATAAAATGGCCTGCATTTTTGGGAAATGACTTTCACTGGACTTTCAGAACAACCCTCTTACATGTCCACAGACGCAATTAACTTTAAGCGAACAGATGATGTTTCTTGGATGCATATCTGAAAGTTGTTCAGAGATCTCGGGGGTTCAACATATCCGATCAGAAAAGGCTTCTTTCTACGACTACCCCCGATTCCGTGGGCTTCCATTTTTTTTTTGCTGGATATTCTAGTAAGTCTTTTCTTCTTGTTATCAACGAACGCGCGCACAACATTCTTCATAGAAAGAATCATAACGTTTCTCAATCATCATCGTATTTTTATCAGAATTGTCAACCGTGCTGTTTACATCAGTACCCTAATAGAATATAACATTGAGTCAACATTGATTCAACGTTGGTTCAACGCCCGGATGTTGAATCAACATTGAATCAATGTTGTTTCAATGTTACACGCTACTAGGGTACAATCAGACCCGAGTGTTCCTTCACTTTTGTGCTGACTTCACTCGTTGAGTCCTACTGTTGAAGGATGATGTGTCCGTCAGTCAGTCGGTTTCTCTATCCATCTCTAGTTATAATACGTATTTTATAACTCTAAATCACGATACTGATGATGAAATAGGAGCGGATAATAAAGAATGAATATTCCCGTGTTTTCCCTCACCCCTATGCAGAGATTACCTGGAGAGCTCGATAGTAAGTGCCTGGAGGGCTCGACCTTGAAGACCCTCTCTCTATCTCTCTCTCTCTCCCTCTCTATCCTCCTCTGTCTGCCTCTCACGAGAGGCCTGCCTTTCCTTCCATTCAGCGGTACAGGCCAAGGACGAGCGGCTGGTGAAAATAGACGCTCTACCCTGCTGTTTCTGGCCTTTTTTTCAGTCTGGGGACGTGATCACAGGGTAAACACCCATCCTGGTTATCTTATTGCCCTTGGTGTTCATCTACATAGTCGATCCGAACTAGAAGAGGAAGTCGGCCCCGTTCCTATTTACCTCACGAGTTCCGCGAGTCCTGGTGCGTTCATGACCCCATCCCTGTTTCACGCTTCTCTCTGCCTCGTTCGTGGTGCGCTAATCGCAAGCCGTGTCTATTTCCTCCTCCCTCTCTCGTCTTCTCTCTGAGAAAGAGATACAGGCCGATCGTGAGTTAACTTCGTGCTCAATCTTCCGCTCGAATCTTGTCTAACACGGTCTCGTTTTCTATTTCTTTTCTTTTCACCCGCGTACCATGCCTGCTCCAAAATTGCTTCGTCGATACCTTGTGTAGTTTTAGCGCTCCACAATTTAAGTTCCTAATAGCGAACTGTAAAACATGAATTTCAGACATTACATTTTTTCAGTCAATTGTGCTCCAAATGAAAAGAAAACCTTCCAATGCGCGTGTAAGGGTAACGTCATGAAAAATAAATTAGCACAAAAAACTGTACCTCACAACGAATCCTTGTTAAGATGCCTTGAGTGCCAAAAGTACCTCCGATATACGAGAAGGGCTTATAGCTAGGAAGGCCTCTTGGATTGGATTTGTATGGATCTCGTTAGTATGACCTCGAGTATTGTTCATTGTGCCACCACCCCCTCCTCAGTAGGCTTTATATGACATCATGGCTTTGCATCTCTGTGGCTTCCCGTTTGGCCAATGATTCCCGTAGTGATATTTCATTTTAAAAATTCCTTTCCCATTTCAAGCCCCTTCCGGAAGGCCTCATGGACGGGATTTTCCCTCGGTAGGTCTTCCCAGAATCCCCTTCGATCCTGAGTCCCGTCTGTGGAAAAAAGGCGAATGAAGACCCCTTAGGTTTATTATTAGATTAGGCATACGCGATGCCTTGACCTAGAAGAACTTGACTGCTATAGTAGGCCAGATTATCAAGGCGCTATATGGTACACATAGATTTTATGAAATAGGATGGGGATGTGATGCTGACAAAATGAATCATGCAAAAAGTTAATTTTCTCCTCGGATTGTGTCCCACATATAAAACGGCAATTTTTTAATCCAAAAATTTTTTTTTTCACGCACACGATACATGATACCAGGTGGAGAAGGTACTAAAGGCCAACGAAGGCACCCTGATACCGAAACCACATCATACACCGCAGGCGAACTGCAAATATTTCCGCGTGTCCTCGTGATTCATCACACAGCGACTGGAAGAGCGTAGCGCGGATGGAATCGCTTCACTTGAATCGATCTATTTCCAATGCAATCGGGGATGACTTACCTGATAAAATATAGTCGGCTGAAGATTGTTTCTTGCGTAGGCTCTGCAAAACCGCTTCAACTGATGCGGTGCTTTGATTGGCAATTTGCAACCGTGATGTTGACCCGGCTTCGCTCTCCCCCAATTTCCCCAGCTAAGTTTTCTTCCTTCCGGTAACATCATCTACCTTCGAGCAACGTCCGACTCCCCGGTTGTGCGTATCCCAGATCCCTCAATATGGTCTGGGCTGAACCTTATCTACCGTAACCTCTTGAGTGCCACCAAAACCTGCCTGGACTTCCCCTACATTACACTCGTAAGAAGAGGCGAGCACGAACTCCGGTTTTCCTCTCTCCTGACTCATTTTTCCCCTTACTCTGGAGGAGCGAAGAGTATTAAAAGAAAAAATTTTTGTGTAATTTTATTTTCTCTCTTAAGAAGGGTAAGAAGGGAGGGAAACCGGAGCCAGTGCTCACTTGTTTTTAAGAGTGCAGCCGATGATCACCCAAGACAACCCATCACCCTTTGTTCCGCGCAACCCGATCTTGGTAATTTCCGTTCGGCGTTCGGACCCATTCGACAGAGCACGTGAAACGTAACTACTACGTTCGAAGCACGCCGGGGACATCGTGCCGCCAACGCAGTGCGTGACACGCAAGGCGTCAATAGGGATTTAACAGGAGAGGGAGACCGAAGAGAGAATATCAAGGAGGATCGGAGGGACCCCTCTTAGATCTGTGCAGAAACGCGTTTTGGGGTGAAACGGCTCGCACTTTAGGGTATGCTGTGCAAGTAGACGGGGTAGCAAAGCGCGCATTTGGCTTGGGAACCCGGGCAAGGTAACGACATCGCGAAATCCGAAACCTGTGAAAATGTTTTCTACACCGAAAGTCTCTTTCTTTTTGTGATGGGCTTTGTGAATTCGATGTCCGGCCAGCTCACATTAGGGGAGCTGTCATGAAAATCCTTTTTCCATTATTCCCAATTTTTTCACTTCAATTCCAAACGATCCCAGTTCATCCTCACTGCATTTTCTCTGTTTAGATATCTCAGTCTAGAAGAGTTCTGGTAGATATGAAGATCCTAATAGCCAATGGATGGATATGCGGGTACTTGCATTTGATAGCTTATTTCACAATTGAGTATTTTTTTATAATCTTTTGTGAACCAGTTTTTGAATCATAGACACAAAATAATTTTTCTCACCTTCTTATCTCCTCTGCTCCCTTCAGCTTCTGAAGAAGAATTCCTACCTCTGAGTAATGAGCATTCATAGTCATCCAGTACGATGATTTTGTCATTGTTTTCACTCTCAAGAGATGAGGAGACCCGCTGGTCCTCCATTTGTTGAAATGGACCGTCAGACCGTCAAATGGTCAAAAATTCACGTTGCACGTCTAACATGAATGTGGGAGATTGCGTTGGATCTGAGGCCAGATTCCCTGTTGGAACGGCATCTATTTTTCAAGCGCCTTGAAGCGTTTCGATCATGATAGGAATCCAAGGAGAAGGGATGCGAGCACACAAATGCATATCTGGGCATAAATTTTCTTCCAAGTTGTCTAGAAATTTTGGAAATTCATGGAAGGAAATATTTCATGCCTGCCGAGTCTTATAAATATTCTTTTAGGATGCGAAAATGCAATCCTTGCCACTGTCCTTCATAACAACTGCTATTAAGAGAGTGAATGAAATGAAGAAACCTAAGAATATCATCGAAATCAACAAACAGGTTGGTAATGTTTATACGATGCTGCCTGGGTGGCTCTAACAAACCAGAGTAGATTGTATTACGGCCGTAAGAGACATGAGAAAGGGTACGTGCGACCTGTCTTGACCTTAACCAGTGTGGTAGTGAGATCGTCAAGGCCAAAGCGCCCACTTTTATAGTGGAACGTTTCGCTGACGTCATCACATGCGCAAGATTTACCCCCTCTCCGACCCCCTTTGAAAAATACGCTTGAAAGCGGTGCTTCGCCAACTATTCAATATGTTTCAAAGGAGACAGACTTAACGAGGCCAGAGACGGTGCGAAGGATTCACGAAAAGGCTCAGGGAAGGGAGGAGGATGTGAACAGTCCACATTTCCTCTTCGTCGTCATTCGAGAAGTCAACAAGAAGGAAGACATGATCACAGATGTAATTCTATCTCTGTCTATAATGTCAACAAATACGACATATTCCGCTTGAGACTTCCCCCGGGGCGAAACTCAAGGCTCCTTCCTTCAGTAGAGCCCAGCTAGAAAATTAGAGTAGTATGGAATTGAACCCGGTAGCCACTCGAACCAATGTATAACCAAATGTATTATTACCAAGCCATTTTTTCAAAGACAAGACTCTGGCTGCCAAACTGGAACCACATAGGTTCAAGTAATCTTAGACGCAGAGGGGTGACGAATCGATGGCTAAATCAACTGTGAAGAAAGCAAAAAATGTGTCGCTGGAGAGGTTCCTTCATCTTACTTTTCATCTTCATGCATTCCGCCTCCTTAGTGCGTTTTGAGAATTCCCATGCGATTTTACGCGCCGGTGTATAGCTCAGCAACGTAATGGTTACGTAAAGCCTTAAAGTAAGGGAAAACTTTTTTTGGAAAATTTCAGGAATACCAGGAAGGTGGAAATAAAGCCCGTACATTGCAAAAAAAGTTCATGGAGTACAAATAGCTAATATGGATTAAAATTTGTCATGTGATTTTCTTGACGAATCTTAAGGCTGCATTGTCAAAGTATTTACAGTACATTGCAAAGGTCCTGCAACAGAATTGCCTCACTGGAGTTCCTCAGGTGATGAGCTGTCTGAGGAAGAATTTTAGCGGGGCGAAGAACCCCCCCCCCCCTCACTGTTCACCTCTATCCCCATCTCGAGCGCCATGAAATCGGCAAGGCGTCCACATTTAAAATTGTCTCCCATTTGTGAACATTCAATTTAAAATTTGGAGATATCAGATGTCCGTTTTGGAAGATGGAAATTTCACCCCTCGCGACAGCTTTCATTGTTTGTGTCGACGCAAATGCAAGTGTTTCGTCCTCCTACTGTCATGCTTGTCGAACGCGATCGACCTTGAGTCATTTGATAGCGTTCGAGCTTACAAGGGACAAGCCGTCGCATTCTGTCTCGTTCAACGGTGAGTAGAGTCAAAAGTATCTCAAACGGAAGGGATCCAACCCCACAAACTGGTAATAGGCTTAGTACGGAATCGTTCGTTGCCACTTAACTGTTTTGCTGAACGATGGCGGTCGTCGTACTCAATTTTCACGTGCCGACTACCATCGTGAAAATGGATTGTAAGGGAGGAATAATCGTTGATCGTTGAACGTCGCATGCAATCGGACGATCGCTGCCAAACGCATGGAAATTCCTTCCGAACTCGAATATCCTCTCTAATCTCCTCCAACGAAAGTCTAATTGAGTGATAAGTTGCGAGGACGTGAGGCTGATCTCGCCTTCCCTAACTTATCACTCTCCCTCCTCGGCCGTGCGAAAAAAATTCTCCTGTGAGCAGTGGGGGAAAATTGTCCCTTGTGGATTCTTCAATCACATTTACAAAAATTGCTCGCGTCAATCGATTTTAATTCTTTTTCTGAGCGAGATGAGGGACAAACCGAGAGCAAACGGATCGTTTTTTTTGCCAATTGCAAAAAATGTCGGATGGGGTGCAGAAGTGACCTCACAGGGGTCCTGTGGGGTCACTTCGGCTCGGGGTGCGGTCAACGTTCATAGAGAACGGCCTCGGCCGGAGGACAAATTTCCGTTCTTCAAAATCCGAATTAGTTAAAGTTGGACCAAATGGTCCAGCTTTAAATGGGTTTCCTTCGAAATGGAAGAGTTTGAAAAGTGGATACCTGAATGAATTGCCGGGCTCGAAACGGGGCTTCAATAAATTACACTGTCCGTGAATAATTTATTCACGGAGGCTTTTGAAAACGAATCGAGAAAAACGGAAAAAGTGCGATGGCGTTCCGGCACTTCCGCATCCGAGCGTTTCCGTTCCCATGTGTTCCGTTTCCGTTCCGTTCCCCGTCCCGCCCGAGCTGGAAATATTCCCATCTTTTCCCTTCGTTGCTCTCGCATCCCATTCCGCGATGAAGGCGGCTTGCGTACTGGAAAGACAGATACGGGAGGCTTTCCGATCGTGTGCAATGTGCTGTGATCGCCGGCTCGGTATACGAGAAATCGATGGGAGGGATGGGACTATATCCGCTAGTGAAGGCATGGGGAACGAGGAAATATTCTTAGAAAATTCCGCCATCGATGGGGCTCGGTTCGCCGACCGATCACCGAAGACGGAACCCAGGAATGACGAGAGAGGCGACTAACGAGATGGCTTTAGCTTCATGACCCCACGACCCCACCTTTTCCGATGAAACACACGCATTCACAAACGCATCGATTCGTCTGCACCAAGGGTTTCAAACTGGTGGCTAGGCGGTTCATTTTGTCTGGCCAGGGAAGTTCTCCTCGAGAGTTGGTTTTGGAAAGTGCTGACAATTCCGATCTGTTCGAAAGAAAATGTTTATGTAAGAATTGTTGGCGCGACCCCTAACCAGACCCGAAAGATTCCGTCCGGCCCCCAACCTGATCGTGTCTGACACCCCTAATCTGCACAAAATTCCTGCGTTTTTCTCCAGCTGAAATCTCATCTGCCTGGACCGCTCTTATTTCTTGACCTACTTGAGTGGGGCCCCGAGGACGGTTTAGTCCTTTCCCGACTTAAGGTTTTGCCAACGATCGTAAGGATAATTGTATACAAGTCTAGCTTAATAGCAGTCGAGGATACCGTCACTCCATACGTTTCACCCTGAGCCGTAATCGTGTTTCTGCGGGAACATTAAGAAAAAAAAGTCGATTGCTTAGCCATACCAATATTTTCGAAGTTCCGCTCGTGCGGGTCACGTGGTTAAGGCATCATACATGACTTGGTCTGATCTTGCTCGGCGTGAGCTGGGAGCTGGAAAATTTCCAGTTTCGTTTACAATATTATGCCGAGTCCCTGTGAACATCTGACACCTTCGTGGTATAATTGGTGCTAGATTTTTGGGAACTTTAAAGAAAATAACTCCATAATAACGAAGTAATTATGTTATCACGACAAGGAAGCGTTAATTTACTAATAGTGAAATAAACGTACTGAAATGTAAGCAAACGATAAAAGAAAAGGATTCCCCCGAAGGTGCCTGAAATGTATATGCTCTTACTGTCTTCGTCCCTCGTTTCTCTTTCCGTCGGGGAAGGGGAACGTTGAGAGACTCGCCTCTTTCCATTCTAAATGTGCGGACATGATATGAATTCGCTGAACGCCCCCCCAAACCGTGAAGGCCCACAATCCGATGGTAAGCCTTTTTTTAATGGAAGTTTCAAACGTTGGATTTGTCGTTCTGTGGCATCGCTCCGTGACTTCACCGTTGGATCGCATAACTAATGGATTGCGACAACTCCGACCAGAGGGGGAAACGTGAAAATATCCGGATTTCTTCTCTCCCGAGGATTCAGACGGCAAGGAAGTCTTTTGTCTTCCTTCGTCACATCGGTTACTTTTCGCCCGTGCCGTCCTCGATGATGCGCTGAAAGGAGGCTCGCGACCTTTTCAACACGTTCATTTCACGAGTCTCTTTTACACTCTGAATCACTCATGGCGTTATCGACGGTGGGAATTTTCTTGCTTCATTTCGGCGAGACGAAATTTCGTGATCGATGAATGAAGTAACGATACGTAACGTATTCATTACTCAGTCATTAGACTACTTTCACTGTAGCAAAAGTGATTCACGGTTTTGCTTCCCCATCCAGGATTTTCCGATTTTACGAATTCGTCTAAGTTTTGAGCGTGTCTTCGTTTGGGCATTGAAATGTCACCCACTCCGTCCGTTATCACTTGGGAGCGGATTTTTATACGCCAATAAATAAAAAATATGCACATAAATATGTTTTTTTTTTAATGGAAAAATATACATGAAATATGCATACAAGTGGAAAAATATGCAAAAACATGCATTTTATAACCCAAAATGAATTCTTTGGAAGAAGGAACTACAATGTACATTTCAAATCTCCAAGCTTCTCCTTATCCCCAAAGAGTGGAGTAAAAGCTACAGTTAAAAACTACAGGGCGATGGCAGGGTTGCCGGATGTTCTTGACAGTATCGAGGGCAATCATCCCTTCCACTTTAACCTTGCTAGGGTGCTTTAGGGCGAGGGTCATCGCGGAGTTCGAGTGAGCACACATGCATGCATTCCACGATTACTCTGAGCTCTGGGGTACTGTTATGCATTTCATGGGTCTTTTCCTTCGTTATTTTTTTTGTTTCTCTTGAAATGTGCTCTCCCTGGCCCCCCGACGCTGCGCCGTTGTTACATGCCTACCACGTAAAGTAATGGGCTCTCAAAAAGGCAAGAAAGATGCCTTCTACTGAAGATAGGAACTTGGAATTGCGTAAGACGTTGGGCGAAACATGCGTAAATTGCACATTCTGAGAAAAAACACAAAAATTTGCATTTTTATGCGTTTTTATAATGGCATCAATCACTTCCTCTGAACATGCTCCTATCTGGATTGCATGCTTCTCCGAGGCTGCAGGAAAAACTACGAACTTGCACAAAAATCTGCTCCCTAGTCGTTACTTTCGTTGTTCATATGCCATAAAAATAAAACTAATATTGCTCTGATTGCGGTGAAGTTTGGTTTGCAATCATTCATGGCGCAGCTGACATTTATTTAAAAGGAAAATATATTGCCAACATTGCCGGTGATGATTGGGATCGAGGTTCTCGAAGAAAACTCTGGCATACGGGAGGACATCGAAAGAGATAATAAGAAACAAGGCTATTAGCCTTGCATCCTTGTGTGGAATAAGCGAGCCCAACTTTGTCCATGTTTCTTTCTCCATGCCTCCGGTTTTTCGAGAATGATTGCTCGTGCGATTTGAACGAAGACGTGTATGGACTCCCGACTCTAGTTCGGGAGGTAAATAACCAGAAATGTTGCATTTGTCATGCGGAAATTGCCCCTCCTGTCAACCCCACGCGATTTCTTACAATCCTTGTCAACCGCGCACCGCTCCGCTCCTTCATCCAAGTCAGTTGCTGGACGGTATCTGAAACACCTCAAGAGCGCTGACATTGCTCATCAGTCCGTTTCCTTCTGCGAGAAAATCTCAACGACAGCTGCTTCTATTGCATGGCGTTTTCGACCATCAAGATGCCCATAGAGCAAACTGCCAAGTATAGCACTCGCAAAAAAATAAATATCAATCACATTCATCTTCAATCATACTGCTAGTCTTCACTGTTTAAGGTGCACTGTGGGGTAGCTTTAAGGACAGTCTGTGACAGAAGGCATCCGAATGGCTAGAATTCCCATTTTACTCAGTCCGAACTGCCAGGTTCCCAATCTCAGATAGACACTAATCTCAGGGTTGACAGATTTGACAGTTGAGCCAGACTATCCTGGAAGCATTACATCTCGATAATTATCGACCTGAATCCCAGGAAATTGCTTTTCTAGACAAGGCTGTAGTCGAAGGATAGCTAATACCAGTGAATTCTAAATGTATTATGAAGGATCTGCTGACTGTTTCAGGTTTGTAAGCATGCTTATGTAGGTTGATGTGAGTCCGAGATGAAGGAAGGATGAGCTACGAGGAAAGAAATAGATCAGAAGCCATTCAAGGGAACACTTCAACCTGGTCTCGACGGTCTCATCTTGGATCCAGACGAGGTACGACTATCGAGCCCTTATTTAGGCTTTTTCGGTCGTTTGTTTTTATCAAATAATGAGTTATTACGGTCGGTCTCGCGGGAGAATAAATTCGCGAAGGGGGAGGTTGCCATGGATATTGTTATTTGGGAGGGTTTTTCTCCTAATGGAGTGAGTTTCCTCATGATCCATCATCGAGGAAAACAGCTTGATCGGTCTCGACGGCGTCTCAGGACTCGGCAGAACGACAGACTTTGCTCACAGACGAGGCTTAATCGATGATGGATCGATGATTTGGATTGACGAATCGATTATTTGTTATTTATTCCACGAACTGTATGTACGGTAGCCGGTGTGGCCAGTGGGGAAAGAGGACCGCTGTTGGGAATGAGATCGAGCGAGTATGACCCCATTCACCCCCCGACCACATATCAAGTCTGTCTCCAGCAATACTCCAAATTTCGCACGTCGATCCTCGTTCTCGCTGCGTGAGTCGCTCAATCGATTGCGAAGTGTTCGTGCAAGCACATCACAATGCTGCTGGTGATTTGCAGGTTGGCGCTACTGACATTGCTGGTACTGGTGACGGTCTTGGCCACGAAGTCACCCGGAAAGGCGACCGATAATCCCATCCAGACCCTTCTTCTTCTACCATCTCAACCTCTTCCAGGTAGGATACGAAACACGACTAAAAAAGATACAGGGTGGTGGGATGGATTCTTCATAACCTTTCTCAGTCGCTGACGACACTATTTAGACATACGACAGACACCCTTCATCACTTATGAACACAACAAGCACAGTTTCCTGCTTCTCTAGCCAAGTCTAGGAACACGGCGCCTCAAGACGTATCTCTAGACAACATCTCTAGACGACAGCTCTAGACGCGCGCGCTAGGTGAGAGGTTCCAGGCGCTCTTTCGTTAAGACATCTGATACCCACGAAGCCCGAAATATAATTTTTTCCGCTATTAATTTTTTTGATGCAAGTTGCGAAAAGAGTGGTACCAAACGATTCGTCGCGACCTCAGTAATACAGTAAACTTTATTTTCCCAGGCATTATTCCTTGTATTTGGGGAGACTTCATACGTTTTAAGACGCCATTCGACATTATATAACTGCGTAGGAGTGTGACGTGAGCATGGAGGAGGTGGAGGAGGGGGGAATTAGGGTGGGGGGGGGGGATGGTAGGGGAGAAAGACGTTCCAAGCTCCCTTGCTCATGGTTGGGTGTGTCAGGTTTCAGGTCAGCTTCATCTTCGTTTCGAGGGACTCTTCGTCTTCATCGTTAAAGAACTTCATGACAGGACTCAACGTCATTTGCTCTCTCATTAGACACATCGTTACTCTATCTAGATTGTAAGACAGATCATTCTACAGCATGTCCTGCAAGATACTAGTATTATTTTTTTCGGAACGTTCAGAAGGTATTTCGGTTCCACAAAATATTTCAGATGTGAGAAACCCTTTGTTGGTTGCACGGGATGAGAGAAGTACAATGACTAAAGTTTTCACCACGATCACTTGCTCTTTTTCTAATGCGAATGTATAGTTGAAACAATGAATGAATCGGTATGTTTCGAGGCGGCTTTCTTAATGTCAGGATGGTTTTAATTCTAATCCTTTTTTTTCGTCTGTGATGGATTCAGGGTGAAATACAAGAGAGTTTAGAATGTGGGACGAGAGCACTCCCTGAGTGTTATTTCGGCCAATTCATGTAAAGATTTAAGTTGAACGTAATCGAGTGCTCTTGCCGCATAACAAAAGTTGAGGCTTGGGAAATAATGCCCTTACAGTTATATCGAACAGCAGTGAATTTTATTGCATGAAGATGGGCTTTCGATTTTTTTTTTGGTCATGTTCAATAGCTCAAAATCGAATGTGTTTGAATCAGCCAATTTAAATGGAAGGAACAATAATAAATTACCGAAGGTCTGACAGGTCTCCAGGATATAGCTCGCAATGATTTCGTTCCCCAGGAAAACCGTATTGTATGTCCATAAATAGCCATTATTGGGTTCATGTCTATTAAATAATTTTTCCATTATTGATTTTTTCTTGAAATCTCAAGTTTTCTTCTTTTCACAGTAAAACATTGAACTGCAAGAGAAAAATAGCAATAATCCGTTTACAGTTGGTTTTCTTGAACTAGTTTTGTGCATCAGAGAGAACAATTTCAGATGATAGAAAATACAGATGATGATGCGAACACACTAACCTATGCTTGTGAGTAAGTGCTTCTCGTTCTAGGCCTTTTCCTTCCCCATGCTCCACCTGACCTATAGGACAGGTGGAAGGCTGATTCTATAAAGGATAACAAGCTTCCGGTTTTCTATTTCGTTTTGTTTATCTCTTTAGAACTCCCTTCATTCTATTTAAAGCATCCTTTAAGGAAAGGAAGCCTTTTTTTTCGCGTAACACTTGTATGCTCAATATTGAGCTCCCTTCTTTGCCTATACATTATGGAGCTGGCTGGATTCCTTGCGAGCTCAAACACGTTTCTTGGTTCTACTTATCTCAGTTATAAAGCCTGGGAGCTCTCAACAAATGCCGTCCGTTTAGAACTTCCCATGGATGAAGGATGTTTGAGAAAACGAAGTAAATTTCTGAAAGACGACTTACTCATTACATTTCATTATGTCTTCATGGCCGCAATGACCATACGGGACGCGCTACATCCCTTTGCGCTAAAGCAAGGATGCACAAAGCGAGGCCCGCGGGTCGCTGGCAGCCCGAATGGCAAAATATAGAGGCTCTAGTTTTTCTACAACCCTACCCGCCACAACCCTCTGCGAGTTTCCCATGCGCTGTATCAAAGCGGTTGCGCTAATTCATGTATTCAACTATAACCTTCTGAAATCACGTGACATGTATCAGCACTTGCCATTTTAGACGAATATTAGGTATGTTGGTAAATTAAAAATGTATTCCATCCAATGGTTCAAGGATATTAATTTTTAAATGTAAAAATGTAATATTTGAGGATCAAAATCAGTGAAGAAGCAATCCTGGCACCACCCTCGTCTGGGCACATAGAGTTGGTCCTTCAACATGACAGGCGGAGAAGAAATTACCTCTTCATACCTTTCATCTATTAGTTTTGCGGCTCTGTTATTTTTTTTCTAAATATTTGATCATGAATTAAGTATTTATATTTGATTTTCGTGCTTTTCCGGAGGTTGTAAGACGAAAATCCCATTCGATTGAGATGTCATATGAGGCTGTAAAGCACGAGTCTCGCACGATATAGGTCAGTTTAAAAAATAACTTGATAAAGAAAATAGCTTGAGGCACCCTCTAACTTTAAAAATTCATAAGAATCGTAATGACGCAAAATAAGAGGAATTTGTCTGAAAATAAATTACTTATACTGAATCTGCCCGTCGCCTGCGCTAAGCCATATTGTAGCTAGCCAAAATGAAGTACCTAGCAAAGATCAGCCAGCACATAGCAATACGGTTTCGATGCTTAAGCTTTCATGAGTATTGTATTAGAAGAACTATGAGAGCTTTTTATTGTGGCAGAAGACTTCTTCCAATTTATGTAAGATATCATTAGCAGAAAAATATGAGGCTTGCTCGATATCCATAGAGGAGAATATATTTCCCCCTGGAGCGTTGTCGCACTTTTATTTGAGTGTTCCCCCCCCCCCCCCCCTCCCTCGTAGCGAATTTCCTGTATCCAAAATGTTTCTCACAAGCCGCTAGCTGTGGTCCTTACTGCACTAAAGCACAAGAACCACTCAAACACGGTCATGGAAAAGTAGCTATGGCAGCAAGTTTCGCATAGTGGGGTCTATCGCCATCGCAAGCAATTCGCGAGAGGAGAAATGCCTCCGAATGTTATGTATATTCTCATGTAAGGAAAATCTCAAAGAGTTCAACCTTTGGGACAAAAACAGCTAATCTGAGTTAAAAGAAACTGCTTCACCGATTAGTTACCTCGTACCCGCTCTGGATCTGATGAGACCGAAGAAAGAGAAAGCCCATCTCGGCCAGGCTCGTTCACGATGACCCCTGGATCGATAAAGAGATGTATTGTTATCAGATTTATTGTATTAATATTAAATGCACCTGCAGGTCCGGACGCAGGTGATGAGAAGCCGGTGCCAGACGTGGACGAGGGATCCCTAGCAAACGCATTGGATTATGGAGATAGAGCGAAAAAAGACCTGGAAACCCTTGAAGACACTCTTGCATCAAAAGGCCTCGTCTTGGATAAGGATACGGCTGCCGGGGAACATGTGACGTTCCTAGGAACAAGAAACAAGTCGATGGAGATGGCCAAGCAAGGTTATGCTCTCCTCAAGGCCACCCTCAAAGTCGCTTCCGAGTACGTCATCGAAACATTCCCTCGAACTTTCCAGAAACAGGTTTCGATGGTTTCCTTCCCCCTCTCCAGTTTGGGCTTGAATAATAGTGGGAGCAAGGATCTGGCATGGGAAAAGTTGCCAGACCTTCGTCCGATCGCCGTCTGTGATGACATATTCGTCCCTCGATGCAATGCCAGCTACCTCTATCGCTCCATAAACGGATCTTGCAATAATTTGGATTTTCCCGATTTGGGTTCCTCTTTCACGCCGTACAGGCGCGTCCTTCGACCCGACTACTCCGACGGTAAGACGCGAAGAAAACCATTTATGTTTGCCTTGCGACCCCTTTTCACGCCCGGATACGAATCAGGTGTGGACGGTCCGAGGAAGTCGACGACGGGAGACGAATTGCCGAGTCCGAGGCAGATCAGCATGATCTTGCATCCGAACGTAGATCGACCTTCCAAGAACATTTCCCTGCTCTTCGTGCTTTGGGGTCAATTCCTGGATCACGACATCACCGGCGCTGCCCTCACCGTCGGTACGTCAAGCCGAGCCACGTTTTCCTCTTCGTCGCCGGACGACCGAAATTCTACGACCACGTGATTAGCACGTGGCGTCCTTTCAGTCGATCGGGGCTCGGCGACGTGTGGGAATTCACTCGATCCAGTGTGACGTATAAATTCTTTGTTAAATGTCTCAATGTATCCCCCTCGACTTCACGATGAAACGTCCTATCGGGCGGCATTCGAGGAATATTTAAAGGGATTACGAGACGAGGAGACTACCGTGCAGATAGGTGCAATCATCATGAACTGCCAGCGATGTTATGAAGACTCTTTTCCTCTCAGAGATTCCCCATAATCGTAACACTGCACGAAGGTAAAATAAAGACGACGATAAATGTTCGGTCTCGTACGATCCCGAAAAGCAACTCTTACATATACGACAGGCGCATTCCATCGTAATTTAGGCTGCTATGATTCCATGCGATAATGATATCCGACGGAATTCGATGATGATGCAGAACGGAGCAAGCCACACGAGTTCGGTGTGCTCCTCATATAAACCCAGTCGTTATCCGCCATATCCAGGCAGAACACAACGGGGATAAATGCCGCTATGGTCATTTCGTTCCCATGGCAACCGAACCCCCTTTTCCTTTTCATCATCGTTCGACGGCGAAACAACCATGGCCTCCCGGCACGGCATAGACGATGCTGCATGTATTCCGCTAAATCTCGCTGCTGTCTCATCTCGGCCACGGACGAGGATCGTCCTGTAAAAGTTCCTAACGGATGGATACTATGTCTATGTGATGCTACTCCTGTTTGATGGGAAAATCCACCTCGCAGGCTGATCAGATCCGAGCGAAACGGGCATCGATGAAAGTTTAGCGCCTGGGAAGTTCCGCGTCTCATTCTAGTCGCGTTCCGACTGAAGCTAAGGGATTCTTGCTGCGCAGTCGCACGATAGTGCGGACGTACGCAGAACAGATATTATTGGCACAGATCACGAGCTTCTTTGTTTGGAGTAAACCACCGTTGCATTTCGCTTTGAAGACATGTACAAACGCAAGAGGACAAGCTGTAACTAAGGTAAAACCTATAACTACCAGAAACCGTATGGTCATTTGTTTCATCTCTTCATTCCCAAAGAATCTCTCCAAAATACTTGGCCTAATTATGACCACATGCCTTCATGAAAATACACGGAGTATCGGACTTGACGAGTTTAAGGCGCAGCCTGCACAAAAAGAAAGATTAATACAGAAAAGGAAGGAAAAGGAAAATGAATTTATTTACTTTTGTTTTGATGCTCTGTCGTTTGACCGAGTGTGGTACGAATATGGTGAAGAAGAATCCCGACATTTCACCGAGAAATCTCTGCTCTCGCTAGAGCTATTTCTATAATTACTAAACTTGGACTGCACAAAGATGAACACTTTGAGCCCCAGAGTCATCATACGACATCATACGCCCATAAATCAAATCATCAGGGTCGAAAGTGTTAGAACATTCGAGACCCCCGCCCATGCTATGGCCGGGCTCTCACATTTCAATACATTACTCCTGTTTGACGATTTCTAGACGAGTACGCGTGAGTACATACTTTGTGCTCTGGTTTCATATTATTCAGGTCACATAATTTCCTGTAAAATTTCTTCCTTGTTGCTGCATGTTTTGTCGCAATTAGTCACATCTTATGAATCGATATAAATCGATGAGAAACGTCGTTGCTAGTCACATTTGAGAGGCATGTGGAGTCCAATCCATCCGGAAAAAAAAATATTCCCCTTCATATTCAGTATTTTAATTATTTTGAATAATAAGATTCACAGAGAGTGAAATAAAATGAAAATTTCAGAAGCCCGTTAGAAACATACAGTAACAGCGTATGCACAAGCCGAGTTTCGTTAACATAGCTTTTGTGAGAGCAGGGCCGTATATTCATGATGGTGATATTCATAAAAATTTGATTACCACTAGTATTACGTTTACCCAGAGAGAAGCGCATGTCCCGCAAATAAACTGATTTCACCAAGTGAAAGAGGGTCTTTTTTCATGCAGGCAATGTGATTTTTATTCCTGAGCTATCTACGACCGGCATCTTTGCGAAAGACTTTCTGAAAGCAATCTGCGAAATTGGTACTGCTTTGAACATTGATCGGTTCCTTCAAGGCCCTCGTGGTTTTTTGCTTTCTTTCTGTGCAGTGTTCCTAAGCATTTCCTAGGAAGTTCGGGGGGGGGTGGGTCCAAACCAAATGAACTTGAGGGTCATATCGATCTATCCGTTGACCGAAAAATTCAGGATCCAGGAACAGACGCGCTCGTCTGTCATAATGCGAGCACAGTCTTCATGTCTTGTCAAAAAGTTGCAGTTTTGCATAGGAGCATCGCAGGAATTGAAACCGAATGATCTGTCTGGGGAAAAGGCGCTCTTTTCGATGATGCAATTACTTTCCCTTTTGAGATGAGCAATTCTCTCCCTATAAACGTAAGTATAATGGTAACTTACTTCTGAATCACCCTGTAGTCTAACAGAGGAAGGCAGAGAAAATCATGGTACCTATGAAGGCCGTGAGATCATATTTAAGTTAAGTTACGTAAAGCTACTTGATCTTAAGGATTCTTGACCCTGTACTAGTGAAGCCTCTGTTGGAAAAAAAGAGATGAATTTACCTCTCAGACGCGGTTCAAATTTTTTAAATCCATGCGATCCTGCGAAGGGTCAAAATGACACCTTGGACTTTCTAATATTAAAAGTTGGGGCTTTTTTTTCACTAATTCCCTGTACGATTCATTCTACGCCATAATTTTTTTTTGCGGAATCCTCGGACATGTCAGATCTTCCGTGATTTGTATATACATTTTTTCCTGGTGAATGTTAGTTTCGTTACTGTTCGGTTCATTGGAAAGGTAAGAACGGGAGTGGAATCACGTGTTGCTCTCCAGAAGTGAGAAACGATTCTTCTCTGAGACACCCTGCATGCTTCCCCATCCAAGTCCTGCAGGACGATACCTTCTACGTCCAAAACAACGTCTCGTGCCTCGAGTTCGTTCGAAATGCCCCCGCTCCATCCTGTCGCCTCGGTGCGTGGAACCCTATTTTACTTGCATGGGCAACGCTTCTCCGAAGCCTACGAAATTTCATTTGTTAAAATTACTAACTCGCGTTAGGTCCTCGGCAGCAGTTCAATCAGCAGACGGCTTTCATCGATGGCTCTATGATCTACGGGGCGTCAGAGGAAGAGAATAGATCCATTCGATCGTTTGAGAAAGGTGAAATGTCTACGGGGAACTCCAGCGAGTCGGGGCCTCTTCTGCCGCCGTCTTTATCCCCCGACGACGGATGCAACGTGCCAGACGAAATGGCCCAGAATCGCTACTGCTTCAAAGCCGGTACGCATACGTATATACTCGTACGTAACGACGTTGTCGTCGCATGCACTCAATCACGGCGGTTGTGATTCAGGTGACCCTCGAGTGAACCAGATGACCCATTTGACGGCGATGCATACGGTATGGCTGAGGCAGCACAATCGGGTGGCTCAGCAGCTCTCTCTCGTCAACCCTCATTGGGACGATGAAAAACTCTTCCAAGAAACGAGGAGGATCATCGGGGCTCAGCTTCAACATATCACCTATCAAGAATTCCTCCCTCTTCTCTTCGGTCTTTCATTCCTTCTGAGATATTTTTGAAATTTCATCATCGTTCACCCAAAAACTAGCACTTTTAATTGAGTTCTACGAAGAGAGTGCATTAATTTGACATTTCGTTGAACTCCGTCATGAAACAGGGAAGGAAGCATACGATCGGATGGAGCTTAGACCCCTGGAACAGGGTTACTACGAGGGTTACAATACAAGTGTGGATCCGACGATAGGGAACAGCTTCGCGGCTGCTGCCTACAGATTCGGCCATTCCCTCATCCAGGTCCCATCTCTATCTCCATCACGATCTCAAGTATCTCCCCTTCGGCAGATGCGAAAAATCCATTATTCTCGAGGGCTTCTTTTTACGCGATGCAGGGTCTGGTCCAGATGGTGGGGCCGAAGCAAAGGGGCCAAACGGTGAGATTCATCCAGCTTCATGAGCTTTACTTCAATCCATTCCCATTATACGAGAAAGAAGGAGTGGGTTCTCTCTTTCGAGGACATTCGACCATGCCCAGCCAGGAGTCCGATCGATTCTACACCGATCAGGTAGTTATGAAGACCTTGTAGCCGGCATTAAATCATAAAACTCCTTCATTACCGCTATCAGCGATTAGGAATAGGAAACTTCTAAGCCGAGAGATGGAAATGGAGGAACAAGTTAGAAATCGAGACTTCCACCCCCCCCCCTCCCCTCCCCCCCCTTTCTTCCGCTTCACCCTCTATTTTCCCACTTTTCTGGGTCGTGTCATCCGCGTTCCCCTTTCTACCCTTGACTGATCTTCATAACGACCATAAAGTCCTTGCTCCTTATGACGGTAACTCCAGTCGTTCTGATACGGAAGTAAAATGAACTCCATCCCGAGATAGTCTTCTGATTCTCACATCAAGATCTTAACTTCTCATCCCTTAACCCTCAGCAAGTCTGCTCGAGTCCCAAAGCCTCAAGAAGAATAGAAATGTTCCGGACTGAGTGCATTTTGTTCTGCTTCGGCGTCCGAAAGCATTACTATTGACTTTTCGAACATTTCGGGGCCTCTCGTTCAACAGAGACTCGCAACACGCAGTCTCTTGCCAAAGAGAGAGACGCAGCAATTTATTTAAAGGTTTACATTAAAAAAGAAGAGAATCGCAGGATCTGATCCCCCAGTAAGTGCACGATGTAGAAATAGAATCCTGCATAATTTGGTAGAATATAGAAGTTATACCTAAGTCTCTACGGAAAAAAAAAACCATTAGAATTCGGTTGATGTGCTCAATGAATTCTACAGGGTGGTCCATAAGTTCCGTACGGTTATGGGAGGCGATGAAAGAAAGGCAAGGTATCGTGACTGCATTGTTGCTATGCGCGACAGCACGGTGCGCTCATGCACAGTGTATCAAGGTCAAGATTTTTTAGTATTTACTGCGCCAACTGTCCCCAGACAATCAGTCTTGAGTTAGAAATAATTACTTTTATTACAACCATAGAGGACTTATAGGCCTTCCTGTCCAATAGAGCCGCATACACCGAATGTCTAAACTAAATTTGACTTCTATTAAAATGGACTCCTCGATCCAGTCATTTGAGAAATTTTTTCTTAATTTTTCATCATGAATCAACTCTAATCCAGTTTAACATGTACTGGTAGGCTTTAGCACGCGTGCGACAGGACAATTACTAAATTAACTTTACATGACTAAAAGGACTAGTACAGCGATCCCTCGATATAACGCCACCGTAGGTCGTCGCCGATTTTGACGCTATAACGCTATATGACGGTGGCACGATATCGAATGAATGGTAGTAGCTACGATGCCGAAATCTCCGACGGTTATGTTGACTAAATGAATGTGAAGCGAATCTTGCCATCCTTGGTCCGCTCCGATGCTCCACTCTTGTCCTATGCATTATGCGGAGTGGCGGTATATCGAGGGTTCGCATGACAAATGTGTCTTTTAGAAATCATTGAAGATGACTGAACAGAATTTCATTGTTTTTTATTTACCTTGGTCCTTCCCTCCATAGAATTCTTTTGTTAAAAAAAAAAATTTTTTCCTCCATTCCATAGTTTCCTTGTTTTGTCCATCGTAGGTGACGAATAAATTGTTCCAACCGCGGAATTCCACTCACGGGTTGGACCTAGTGACCATAAATATTCAGAGGGGACGAGATCACGGAATCCCGTCTTATATCCAATTCCGACAGAAGTGTGGACTGAAAACCCCAAAACAATTCTGGGAGATGTACAACATCGTGGAACCCGAGGCAATGCAGATCTTCCAGAGGTTATACAGGTGGGTCCACAAGAATCCCATTTCCGTCAGACACACCTGAGCACACTGTCCTCTGAGAGTCCCCTTCGCTCTCCATCGTGCAATTCCTCGGAAAAATAAATCAGCGTAGGAGGAATTCGGCAAGTCAACGAGCGAATCCTTTTCTCATTTTCTACGGAAATTTATTCCACTTGTGTTAAAATTAATTTTCTTCTGCTACGAAACGCAAAAACGGGTCGGGAGTTTTTGACTGCAGAGTATAATAGAAAAGGGAGAGGAATTAAAGGGTTCATTTCCTTTGACGTTTGACAGGAACGTGGATGACATAGATTTGTACAGCGGAGGGATTTTGGAAGTGAAAGGGAATGGGAGCTTGGTCGGACCCACTTTTGCTTGTCTTCTGGCCGACCAGTTCATTCGTCTCAAGCAAGGGGATCGATTCTTCTATGAAAACGGACCACAGCACAACCCTTACCCTTTCACCCAAGGTAAACATTTCCTTCCTCGTGGGATCCATTCTCTCTCTGTCCATGGGGGGTGACTGCTCTCTTCTTTCGTTTCCTCTTCCGTCTCGATGCAGAACAACTGACGGAGATAAAGAAGACTACGTTTTCCCGGATCCTGTGCGACAATGCAGACTCCTTAGAAGAAGTGCCACTCGAGAGTTTGATGATGGGAGGGGCGGGGTTTTCTTGCGGAGATCCGAGGATCCCCAGTCCCGATTGGAGTCGTTGGCAAGATCCTCTGCGTTCTTCTCTGGATCTCCTCCAGCTCCCCACATTCAATGCCACTGATTTCCTTCGTTCCTAGCTTTATTCCTTCGTTCGGTGATTTCATGTGATTCTCTCCAGTTGACGACAGATAGACATGATCCGATTCCAAGCACTATTTAGATGATGGCACTAAGATACGACTTATTCTATCTGTTATATTCGCACACGTGATATGATGCCTTTTAAACTTCTTACAGGTATTTCCATATATTAGTGATTTTTTTGTTATTCCTTGTGTTCCTTGCACCTGTGATGCGTTGGTAGTCGAAGCCAATAAAGAGGAATCGGGGGGAGGGAGAAAAGGAAAGCAGGGATCTACCTCATTACCTTAATGGCCTTTCCCGTGTCATCCCTCATGCATTATTCCGTGAGGACAACCGACCTGATAGGCACCAAGGAACCTCTATTACCCTTATATCCTCCACCACTTCTAGGCCTATATCATGTTGCGGTATGTCAAGTAAAAGGAGGCTTGCACGAAGATGTACTCGACATGACCGCCCGCATTCAGACGTTTGAATGAAATGGAACTCAAGGAGAAATCTTTCGAAAATTTCCTGAGTTAGCTCGATGGATCCGCTCGAGATTTCTGGAAAGCCAATCGATCCATCTGAACATGCTCTAAAATTCCGCCACTATTCAAAAGAATTTTGGAAGCGTGTTCTATCTCGAAAAAGGAAATTCGATGTCCATCAAGTCTGTTCATCTACCAGTCTCCATGTCTTCCACTCCGGACGTTCATGCAATTATTGTGACCTTTTCATAGAAAGGATCCGAATGGATATGACCAGCCCCGTTTATCTCTCCTAAATACGATGACTCGAATTTTTTCTCTGATGGAAAATTATAGGGAAAACGAGAAGGGGCTTCATGCTATACATGTATGGATCTCAGAACTGTATGATTTCCCCAGAGTGGGTATTTAATTGAGGGGGAGATCAAAAGCGGGAGGGGGAGAGGAGGAAAACATCAAACGATACCCAGGCCGATATGATGATCCACGTCTTCTCTTCCGGTGGGAGACAGTTGGCAAGAAGACTTGCTGAGTGCGCGGAGGAAAGTGCGAGTCTCTCTATAAAGGGCGCCACCTGTTCCACTGCTGCAGCCAGTCGGCCGCATGCTGCCGGCCTCTCCCGTCTGCCTCCATTTATCTCTCTCGGTTCTAGCATTTGTCTGTCCTAAGACATGTTACATTTCCCAAGCCAGGCGGTGGATTCGATGAGCATGTGAACTGTGCCATGCCTTTGAGGACTCGTCGTGTCGATGTCGCTGTCTTCGTCCTCGTTCTGGCCCTCTCCTTCCCCTGCAGTGAGTCCATTTACTGCACATTCCAACACTCACATCATAGAGTTGCGGTTATTTCCCCTCTGCTTCAATCTAAGTCATCCGGCTTACAATTTGAACAAAAAATTAATTTAAATGGTTTGGCGGTAATATTGGAGATTGCCTTCGCAGTCTAAATTGAAAAGAGGGATAGATAGGGAAGAGAGATAAAGACTCCAAAATATCAGCTGGCTGACGTTTGGCTGCTGCCATGCGTGATTCTTATCAGATCCTACATTTTCATTGAGGGCTGTGTCATGATCAGAGAATTAATATAACTAGTGGAATCTCTAAGACTGGAGGGACAAAACACCACGACTCAAGCATAAATCATCCATGCACTTCTTGATAAAATGTCCATGTTTGCATAAGGACTCCCGAAAAAAATTAAATATCTATAAAGAAGAAGACAGGAAATGTCACAGATCATTTCATCAGAAGTGACTATCATCTCCAGAAAATCGCACAGCGAAGCAGTCCAAAGGCCATGGTAGGCTCGTGATATTCAGTAGTAGAGGATCGTCAATGGCCAATCGCCAATCCCAAAGGCAAACACGAGCAATCCAACAATATCGAAATTAATATGCTATAAAAGAATGCATGTTTTGTGATTCAAGTCATTCGTTAATTGTCTTTATGCTGCCATTTTCTTCGCGTCCTTGTGAGGCCTCGTGCCCATTCCGACTGGCAGCAGAACGGGAAAGGTGCCTGGTTCTTACATTTCGTGTTGAATTCCCGGAAGGAAGCGCTTCCGGGGTGTGGGCTCCTCGAGAGCCTCAACAGCATCAGTGCAAAAAAGGAAGTCTGGTCAGGACGGGAGACAGAGAAAAATAGACGCAATTAGGAACAGCTGACTACAGCACAGTAAAGGGTCCGGGAAAGGAGGGAAATGCTGTTCCATCTTTGCAGGCAGAAGGGGGATAGCCCTAGATGTCCCGTGCCAAAATGGTCATTCTTTCCATCCTCTCTCCTTTCCTTCACTCGGAAATGTCCTGTATGAGCCTGCAGAGCACCTCAAGGTCCACAGCAGATGATTCGTCACATTTGCGACGGAGATGATAATCCAACGTACTAGCGTGAAGTGGAGACACGACTGGATAAACATGCCCGTCTGTCTCCTGTATGAGAGAAGAGGAGAGTGTAATGTCAACTGATATCATGATGAGATATCGATCGTTGTCGCCTCGTCAGTCGTCACTCGATCTCCCTCTTCTTCCTTGGAATATTGGCTTCCCCAGACTCTTAAGAGGGGGCACTTGCTCTTCCAGATGGAAGCCGACATCTTCTCAGTCGCGATTCTCCATTTCGTCATCGTATGGAATGGGACTGAAGTTATTCCTTCTTGCATGTCCTTGTTTCGAGATAAGTTGCTTCTCGTCACCTCATGCCTTTCGTGTATCGGTAGCGTGATCACGTGAGCCGACGTTTTTATATTATTTTTTTGTGGTTGCGCTCGTGTTTTCCACTGCATCGGTTACGTAGACATATGCCTAGTATAGAATCCGAAAGTCCCCAGTGGATTTTCTTCCGCTTCGGTTCCCATCCGACCCTGATCTCTGCTTTTCTTTTTGTAGGGATCAGTTGGATTAACTGGCCAGAGACGGAGATTTTTCTCCCTCGCTCTCCGTATAGACATGGAAAGAGCTAAGAGAGATACTGGTGAAATGGAATCCTTGGAGCGAGGAAAATAAGCTTCCTTCCAGCCTTATATATCAAGCAATGGTTGCAGTGCCAGGGCGAAATGACCGTCTCGTTCATGAACGTTCGCTTCATTGCCTCCTCTCTTCTTTTATATTTTCTTTTTTTTTTCTTTTTCCGCTTCTACACCCTTCCAACAACTCCACGATCCCGCCCCCTTTTTTTTATTCCATATTTTGGGACTCGGTGACTGCTTAGCTGACATGCATGCAACTACGTTACTTCCCCCGCGTCTTGTATTATGCAGCTCATCATACATCTCCCACCCTCAGATAGCTTTCCTTTTCCTTCCTCTCCTCGCGTCTTCCTTATCGTGTTCCTTCTGATTCCCCTTCGTTTCCTCCATACGCCTCTTCTTGGGAAATCAGGAGGCGTCCATGCCGTCTCATGTGTCCACTCTTCGCCGATCGGTCTTACGAGAGGCTTGAAGGGGGTTAGCAATGCGAGTACATTTCCACGATGGTATGTCGCGTGAGAGATCGCCTCCATGGAGAACTTCTTTAAGTGGGAGCTGTTGCACAATATAGGGCTCATCTCCCTTTGAGTGAGTGTATCCATGATAGCGCACTCGCATGAAGTTTCTCTCGTACGAGAAACTTTTAAGATCGTCTCCAAAGACGACTATTGTCTGCGCGCGTGCTTCCAAGGAATAAAGAAAACCCCTATTTCGTGGAACAATCTTTCAGACAATGGTTGTCTGCTGCAGCGGTCCCCGGACCGTTTCATAGCGACGGCGCACTTTTGGGGCAGCGAGATATTACCGACATCCTTGCACGTCCACAGACGGTCATGCGCAATAAAATAGGCCCAGTCAAAAAAAGTATGTAAGCATTTATTATGAAATGTTTAGTTTGAGCTGTCTGATAGCAATGCGATCATTTCAAGAAGACTAATTCAAACTCTCCGTTTTATGTCCCCCCCCCCCCCTTCTTCATTGCTCTCCCTGCAGATGCCTCAAGTTCCCCAGACAATCAAGAAATGTTCAATATTTGAAGTGACCCTGTGCAGGTAATTTGTCACGCTTATACGGGACCTCACTTTTTTTCTTATGTACCCAGAATAGGAGAAGGTAGACGTAAGTGGTGCATCTGTGTTGGCAAATGCAACCAGGATCTTCATGGCTGTAACAACATTGAGCTTGGGATTCCACCTGGACTCTCTTGATGAAATTATGTCACAGGAATGAGCAATATGAGGCAGGTTTCTTGAAAATCGACTCGGCGTACTCCCGTTACCCAATTTCTTTTAGAGACAAGGTTCAAGTCAGAAGTGCGATACGCCGAAAGCGGTTCCTCAAGCGAGGTTTGTGGCTCACTCCACAAAGTGTTCCTCGGTTATTCCAGTGAAGGAGCATCTTTCTTGCTCTACTTCGGTGACAGGTATATAAAAAAATAAGCTGCTGCCACCCACAACATCCTTATCAGTCACCAGTCTCTCGCAGCTCCCTCGGGTGCCCCAGGTTAAGGATTTTCCGTGCGAAAATTCCATGCGAGAGCACCACCTTGCGTCAGCCCGTCTTAACATGTATGCATGCTCGCACGGACGTTACTCGCGTGTGAGATCGTCTCAAGTAGACGGCTTAGGTCCACGAGAGTACTTCCACGAAGTGGGATTCATATCTGCTCTCATGCAAGTGTGCAAAACGCTAGCTGACATTCTCCCGCGTGTAACTTTTATGCAAGCATACTCGCATGTGAAAAGTCGGCCTTATGATTTGGACTGTCTGCTGTTAAGCAGGCCTCCTATGGAAGGTTTTTCTTCGAAAAATAAATGAGCTTATTATGTAATCGCCTAAAAGTGTGTCTATGCTCATGCACAAGCGAGGTTTCGTCCTCCAAGAATTTCGTTAAAAAATGTTTAATGAAAAACAAAACTTTCATTTTACAAATAGTATCATAAAATATAATTTAAATTCGGAAACCGTGCCGAAAGCAAAGCAGGTTGGCGGACCGGACAGCCCTCCTTTTCCCCATGTCCGACCCTGCCACCAATTCTATTCTCGGTGATTCTTGTACT